CCACACGATCATGCCATAAATTTTCAACCTGCCGTGTGTACGCTGTAATTTTCGCATACGTTTTGTGTTTACACGTTTTTAAGTGTTCTGCTGTTTTTGTACGACTTATCAACTCAAGCGGCTTGTTGGTCGAACGCGTGCTCGTAAATATTGGGAGTGATGTTATGTGGGAGTTGTTCGGTTGATTCTTTCTATTGTGGACAGGTGTATTTGATAAATTATGTCTGTATAGAGTGGTTTATTTGGATATTGAATACTGTAGTTCTTTAACTTAAATACTATTAGTTTTATAGTTCAAAAGTTGATGTGTCACCGCACGGGTATTTTATAGATGAATTAAATTATCAAAAAAAGGAAAAATCGTTTGTTATCGTATTATTTTGAAGGTGTCATGCGATTAAGCTGAATTTACAGCACTTAGTTTACATTCATTCATTTGTAGACTTTGTAAAATCTCTCTTAAATGTTAATATGTACCTACAACAAAGTCTACCATCGTTATCCCTGCTACTGCTACAATAATTACGTTATTTACTTCAATTATATTTTTTAAGTTCTCAACTTACGTAGCAGTGTTAACAACGACAAGTTGTTCTATTGTTAAACTTTAATGCACTTCGGCACTTTACTCAAAGGACTTAGGTCCTTTAGCTAACAGTACGTTCGCTCCAATTGTTCGTTTTATACGTCGGACTGGATGCAACAGACTCTATCTGACATAGCATGTGTATAAACCACACAGATTTTATTATGAATCGTGAAATATATTTACTTGTTTGTTTTGTAACATGTGTGGACGTAGTGTTTGGAGTTTTTCATTGTCAACAGGTTCAAAGATTATCAGTTTCGACCAAGTTTGGCTATCCCCGTCCAGACCATTGGGTCGTTGTGGTAGACAACTTAAACTTTTTTTTGACCCCACGGTAGGACTTCTTCATGGAGCCCCCTCGCCTAGGGAGGACAAAAGAGACTGACAGACTCTTACTGACTAAAACCCACCCCGATTTCCCGTCTCACGCGTGGGTACAGGTGTGGGAAACGAATTTTTTCCGCAGCCCCCAAACACGTGGTGGCCTCCCTTGCAAAGTCAAAGTCAAATTTAAAAAAAAATATTTCAAAGTCAAAATAATTTATTTCAATTAGAACAGGAAGACTTTTGAACGTCAACAAAAAGAAGGCCAGGCCCCACCTCAAGATGCACAGAGGAGTGAGATGTTCGTCTCCTTCATGCAACGTCTTAGAGATGCGCGTGGATACAACGCCCGCAAAAGGAAAACCGGTGTTGAGATTCGAACTTATACCTCAAAAATGGTGGTATACATCAAAGATGATTTTCCCCCCTTAAAAAAAATACCTCAAAAATTCTCCGTCGTATATATTAGCCTCTAAGCCAAACCAGATACTTAGTCAACTGAACCTTTTTTTTTTTTTTTTTTTTTTTTTTAACCCCAAGGTGGGAAATCCTCATGGAGCCCTCTCGACTGGGGAGGACGAAAGGGACTGTCAGACTCTTACTGACTAAAACCCACCCCGGTGTCCCGTCTCACACGTGGGTACGAGGGTGCGGGAGTCACATTCATCCGCAGCCCCCGAACTCGTGGCGGCCTGCCTTGCCAGGCCCCATCTCAAGATGCACGGAGAAGTGAGGTGTTGGTCTTCTCCGTGCAACGTCTCGGAGGCGCGCGTGGACACAACGCGCGCCACCGTCTCGGGTCCTTTACAACGGGATGACGGGGACTTCCCCAAGTCCACCGTCCCCGGACCCATTTAGGGGGGTCGAAAGAGAGCGATTTCTGCTCTCCTTCGACGCCCGGTACGCCTACTGCGGGAAGGTAGAGAAATTGCAATTTCCCTTTCCCTTTCCCTCTCCGCAGCCTCCTTCCGCGACATTACATCTTCGCAGAAGGACACCACTGCATCCCACGACTCTGCACTGCCGACCATTTTTTGGACAACAGTCGACAGTGACAGATCGTCACCGATCACTAATATGAGGGCACGACGTGGCTCATCCCAAGCCACACACTCCATAAGGGTGTGCTGCGCCGTATCCTCCTCACAATGGACGCAGTGATGGCACCGAGCGTTTGGCTCCCTGCCTATGCGACACAGGAACTTTCCGAAACACCCATGCCCCGAAAGCACCTGCGTCACTCGGAACGACAGGGTGCCATGCTTTCTCCCGAGCCAGTCGTCGAGTACTGGCCGGACCACCTCGATGAAGTTGAGTCCAGCGGTAGGGCGTTGAAGCCTCTCCCGCCATTCCGCCACTAGGACCTGACGAAGCTCCGACCGATGCGATTCTATCTGTCGTTGCATCAGTGGGACACCCCGTTCCTGCTGTTCCTTACGCCACAGATAAAATGACGCAAGTACTTTCGCCTCGAGGTCCCAGGGCGGAGATCCGGCCAATACGCAAGCTGCCTCGTAGGAAATCGTGCGATAACCCCTAATAACTCTGACGGCCATCGCCTTTTGCGGTTTTCGCAATACTGCAATACTACCGGCCGTCAGGTCTGCCGCCCATATCGGGGCTCCATACATGGCCATGGATAGCACGATCCCTACGTAGAGCCTCCTACAGACAACGCTCGGGCCCCCTAAGTTGGGAAGCAGCGTTGAAAGCGCACCCGTAGCACTAATTAACTTATGCGCTAGCCGCTGAAAATGAGGACCGAAGTCCCAACGGCTGTCGAGCACCAATCCTAAATACTTCATGGTGGGCTAGACTGCTATTCGGGTCCCACCGACCACTAAATGAGATTCCGGCGGTGGAGCGCGTCGAGGGCCATGGAACGTAATGGCTTCCGATTTGTTGAGGGCCACTTCCAGACCCAGGCGCCGGATGCGGCTCACCACCTGTGACACCGCTGCTGTGGCTAACATCGCCGCCTCCCTATAGGAACTCCCACGGGCGGTGACTAACGTATCGTCTGCGTAACACGTAAGGTCTGCACCCAACGGAAGTTCTCCTCTCAATACCCAATCGTATCCAATGTTCCACAAGAGAGGCCCCAATACTGAGCCCTGTGGAACACCGCAAGTCATGGCTCGCTGATTTACGCCATCATGTCCCCGGTAGGTGACACACCTGCCATCCAGGTAATCCTCTACTATGCGACGGAGGTAGGAAGGCACACGGTGATACTTCAGTGCCTCCCTTATACAACTCCATGGCAGGGTGTTGAATGCGTTACTGATGTCTAACGATACTGCTAACACCACCCCGCCACGGGACACCGTTTCCTTCGCAAGGGCTCTCACTCGCCTTATTGCATCTATGGTGGAGCGCCCACAACGAAAACCGAACTGACAATCGTCCAGATCTGGCCCTTCCGTGCATAAGTGGCTAACTAGACGACCTGCAATGATCCGTTCCAAGAGCTTACCCACCTCGTCTAGTAACACTATGGGGCGATAAGCAGACGGCGATTCTGCAGGGCGCCCCTCCTTTTTGAGCAAGACCAATTTCCCCACCTTCCACAAACTAGGAAACTGGGCCTGCGCTAGGCAAGCCGTGAAGAGCCCTCTTAGATGGGGCTCGAGCTCTTTTAGTGCGAGAACAAGAGCTCGACCGGGAATGCCGTCGGGTCCGGGTGCCGTATTTTTTACCCGGAGCCGGGACACGACTAATCTCATCTCTTCTTGTGTCACCTCAGGGACATCGGTACCTTCCTCTTCTATGAAAGACTCAGCTACAGAGGACGAACCCATCGACGGTGGAACGTGTTCGGCTTGCTCAGGGAAGAGGGCTGCCACCACATCTTCCAGTAGCTGTGGCTGGAGACTCTCCGTGAGTGGAGGCGCCCAGGGGCGTAGTTTGCCTCGTACCATGCGATAAGGGCGCCCCCATGGGTCTTGATCTAGGGTGCCCAGCATCTCTTCCCTAGCTCGCGACTTGGATTCACGAATGGCCTGCTGCAGAGCCTTTTTTGCTGTGCGATACACCTCATATCGAGCGATTTCCTCATTGGTGTCACTTTGACGTCGTCGTCGATATCGAGTGAACTGCCGACGGGCTGCCACACAAGCACTACGCAGCTGAGCTATCTCGTCCGTCCACCAATAAACTTGGCGCTTGGATGGCAGTGTGCGAACCCGGGGCATACAAGTGTCACAAATTTTTATCATCGCATCACGGAACCACTGCGCCTCCGCTTCAACGTCAACGGGGCCATCCGTCACCGACTCCCTCATCCAAGCCTGTACCATTGCGGCCTCTTCGAGCAATTCTCTGTTAATACGTTTCAGCGCCCAGCGTGGGCCATCCATCATGATTGATGACCTGCGGTCGCCTGTAGTCGATACGGAGACGTCAAACCGAATGTACCGATGGTCTGACAATGTTTCTACTTCTACAGCGACACGCCAGTTACAGACACGACTTGCTAAAGCAGGGCTAGCGAACGTGACGTCCACTATGGACCCACCATGTTGCCGCACACATGTAAGTTCTGAGCCCTGATTCATAACGATCAAGCCAGTCGTGACAGCCCACTCTTCCAGCACATCGCCTCTAGAATCTGTGATTGGAGATCCCTAAGCCGCAGACTTAGCGTTAAGGTCCCCAAGCAACAGCAGAGGGCGAGAGTGATATCGGTCAACAACGGTACCTAACTCTACCAAAAAACTCTCGAAATCGGCAAGACTCTTATTAGGGGAGAAATATACCCCTACTAGGACGATGCCATGTGATACAGCGACAACCCAGCCGCGACCCCGCATAGATTCCCCTAGAGTACCTCCGATTATAGCCACCAAACCATCCAGACAACCCACCCAGTTATCCCGAGTCGGAATAAAGTATGGCTCGGCGACCACAGCCGCATGAATCGACCACTCCGCCATACTCTGGAGCAAAAGATCCTGAGCACTGGCGCAGTGGTTGATATTGCCCTGGAGGAAATGGAGGGGTGCCATTATTTACATTCCATTCCCTCAGCATCGGTCTTAGGCCGCGAATCGGCCGTAGGGCTTATGATCTGCAAGGGTTGCAAGGTTCACCCGACAGGTTTGCCCTTCTTCTTTTTTCTTTTGTTTGTTGTGTTTGAGCGCTTGTGCTTGCTGGCAACAGCACCACAGGCTTGACCGCCTAATTTATGCCCAGCCGGCCTGCATGCAGCTGTACAAAGGCTGCAATTAGGCTCGGCAGAGCACAAAGCCGCCTTGTGACCTGGTTGTCCACAGCGATAGCACCAATCGCTGCGATCTATTTCAGCAATACATTTGACTAGGACATGCCCTTCCTCGAGGCATCGGAAGCATCGCCGAGTCCGAGGTTGCAGTAGTTTTACTTTAGCTGCAACCCACCCTACTAACAAACGCCCGCTATCTGCGATCGTTTTCGCTACCATAGTCGGGCACCGCACCCAGATCATACCAAGACCAGAAGCATCAACGCGAATATCCCCAGCCCGCACAGTGTCGGGTGAACACTCGCCAATACGAGCTATAGCCGTCACCACCTCTTCTGTGGTTACGGAATCATCCAGACCACGAATATGCAATTCTGCAGTCTTCGTAGGTCTGGAGACACGAACGTCATCCAGATTTAATACCTCTATCAATTTGGCAGCAAGAAGATCCGCTTTCGCAACGCTGGAGCTGGATGCACCGGGAACTTCAAATAACCTTGCACCTGTTGCTGTTGTCTTGAGCGTAACACATGGTAAATCAAGTTCCGAGAGCCGAATTTTTGCCTTTGCATCTGCAATCACCCTCTTATAGGTCACACCTCTTTCTTCAGCTCCTGGCTGTAATGTGACTGTTACAGCTTCAGAACGTGGGGCTCGAACTTTTGGCGACTTAAGTTGATCCCCTTTTTTTACACGTTGCGTGAATGCCACTTTTGTGGCTGCAGCAGATATTTGCGCTGCAGCCGACGCCGTTTTAGCCGCTTTTCGGACCTTTTTTCTACCTACAACTGTGGCCCAAGTCTCGTCCTTAGATCCGGGAAGATCCACAGTTGTAGAAGTTTGCGACGGAATGTCAATAGTAGGCTTTTTTCTTGCTGGTACTGGTCTCGGTGACTCATCCAGTCTCCGTCTATCTGCTGCAAGCGGCGGTCTAAGATTTTCGGCAGGAAGCCGCTGAGTGATGGCCTCGAGGCGTGCATTCATCATACTTCCACATTGGAGCATGCAGATACGCACAATTTGCTCCACCTCATCGTCTGTTCGTTGCAGGGCCGGTGCCTTTACAGGGACAGCCACTGATGTGGGGGTGAACGTAAGCCCCGATGTAGATGCAGGCGTAGGTGTATTGACTCCAGTGGAAGAGGTAGTCTCTCGCTGCTTCTGCTGCACACTCAGCGCAGCGACCTGCCGCTGAAGATCTTCAAGATCCGATCGAAGGCGGCTATTCTCCTCCTGCAATTTAGCGACCTCTTCAGAAGCCGTTCTTTTGAGAAGGACCCCAACCGCATTTTTTATATCGTCAGCTGCCTCTTTGAGGGCACGAACGAATGTGGTTTTAAGGTTTCCGGATTTTGTGGCAACCTTCAATACCACATCCACGCCGTCAAAAACCTGACGAATCAGCGCTACCGCTGATATCTCTCCTCCTTCCGCTGCTTGTGCAGCTCTTCTTTCTCGGGCTCGTCGAGCCATTTCCGATACCTCATCGGCTGCGACAGCTCGCCGCTGCTGCCTCTTCGCGGCGTTGAGCTCTGCCTTAGTACTTATTAGCGACGTGGCAGAACTCTCGCCTCGTTCCTCTTCGCTGTGCCCAAGGTCGCAACTATCGGGACGCAAATAGCGCTTCCGTAACTCTCGCTGTGACACATTTGTCACAGCGGATGCAGCACGCCCTCGACGAGATGTCGTCACTTTTGCAGCCAACAAATTCTCTTCACTAGAAGAGAGACATATTGACCCTGACTGATGCGCGACCTCATCGCGCGTAAGTTTCCTCCAAAACCTAGAGGAAGGTTGGCCCGACTCCCCGTCGGACAGAGTAACCCCCAAGAGACTAGAACTATCTAAATAATTGGTTTGACCAGTTAGACTGGCAGCTGGTGTAGACACCAGATGGCATTCGATGCCCCCCCCAGAGTACGAGGGGCAGACGGCAGCCGGTACCGCCCTGGGGTACAATTACACTTTTCTCGTTTGCCATTTTTATAAGGTCCTTTAAAAGCTTCGATCAACAATAACAACTAGATAAAGGGTTACGTACAAAATCAAGCTCCAGTTCTGTCCGTGTGAATAATAATAGTAAAAAATAACAAACAGAGAAAAATGTTTTAAAATAGTTTTAAGTTCAACCTAATAAAAACCATGGGCACCTAATGATAAAGTCATAAATCGTCAAAATATTATCTAATACTTACGACCATTCGTCATATAAGACAAGAAAAGTATTTTCTTACTCCTGTCATGTAGAAATTAAAAGACATAAGTTATACAATATCTAGTTTGAATTCAACCTTAAGGTCGAACAAATAAAGATAATTTTTCCATTATTGTCTTGCGATCTATATCGTTTTGTTTTGTTTCGTTTTGCTTCTTCAAATTTCGAATTTCGCTACAGGAGGTATGTATGGAGTCGCGTTGGACACTAAAATAATTTTATAATATGAAAATTAACATTTCGGGATCTTAGTATACATCACTAATTTTTATTAGCGGTACGTTTTTGTGTATGATATGTTTATTTACTTTATCGTTAAAAGTCTAAGTCTAAGTCAAAATTATTTATTTCAGTTATACCAGGAAGGCACTTTTGAACAACAACAATATAAATTTAAAAGTGAAGCTATTTGCTCATTCCAAGGTGTAGATTCCTATGGAGAAGAACGAGCAAGAAACGATACAATTTCTTATTTTTTCAATACAAATCGACTCCATGCATCCACTGTTCTGTTTATACAAATGTTGGCGAGACTTGGCCAAGGAATCGCCAATACACGCACAAACATTGGTGGCGTTGGTTTATAATTGATAATTTTGTCTAATTTGATATTATTTACTAGTTTAAAAGCTTATAATATAACTTATACTTTATGTACTTATCAAAAGTAAGACACTCCGGCCGTTATACTGCTTTTTCGGTTGTTATTTTTGCAACTTGCAATTACTCGTGAGACGTGAGTACGTTGGCCGTGTTTGGAGCATACTAAACAAAATAAGAGCTCACTTCTCAAGTGAGCTCTTATTTGTCGAGACGATTTTCTTGCGCCGACCCGATATCTAGTTGTTATTGTTGATCGAAGTTTAAAAGGGTGAGGTCCCTATTTGACTCCTACCACAACGTCTTTTTTTACCTTTTTAATAATTTTTTTTATTGTTTTTTTTTTACTTTTTATTATTTTTTAAATTTTTTTTTTTTTTTTGTTTTTCTTTTTATATATAATAGATTGTGAAATGTGAAGCATCTCACGACCTATCTTTCCTCTCCGATCTCTTGACTACAGTGCCACAAGATCCCTAGACCGTAGGGTGTGAAGCACCCCTCGGCCTACTCTCCTCGCTCTTCCATATAGCACTCTGCCAACACAGAGTACATATGGAAGAGCCCCCAGGGACGACCCTTCGCCCCAGCAGAAATTAGCTCCAGAGAGCAGTCTCTCCTATCCCAGTTTGACATGCGATAGGAGAGACTCCAACCTGTACCCAGGGTGCACCAGCCAGCACTGCCCTTCCCCCTGAACGTATCCATAAGGGAATAGCAGCCACCAGCGACGGGGAGGTTTTCTGCACACACCCCGAACAAATCAACCTGCCTTATAAGGCTATCTTCCTCAACCTGCCTTATAAGGCTATCTTCCTCATATTATTGTATTGTCATCCAAATATTTTGAAAAGTATACATATTGAATATTAATCTTTCAGGTTGAATGTCCACCACCAAGGACAACAGCAAGACTTCTAGACAAATTGGTTGGGGAGTTTCTGGAGGAGAAATGTATAAACCCCACATTTATATTGGACCACCCCCAGATTATGAGTCCCTTGTCCAAGTACCATAGGGATATTCCTGGTTTAACAGAGAGGTAAAGAAAATAGAATGTTAATAGTAGCTTGAAATATGAATTTGCTTTATTCATGACAGAAAACAATAACTCGTCCTGTTTTTAGGTTTGAACTCTTTGTAATGAAGAAAGAAATTTGCAATGCATACACAGAGTTAAATGATCCTGCCACTCAAAGAGAGAGGTTTGAACAGCAAGCCAAAGATAGAGCAGCTGGTGATGATGAGACTCCACCTACTGATGAAGCATTTTGCACTGCTTTGGAATATGGTCTGCCTCCTACTGCTGGATGGGGTTTGGGCGTTGATCGTCTTACAATGTTCTTGACCAATTCCAACAACATCAAAGTAAGTTGGTTACTTATTTGGTTGATAAAATGTTTTAATATTACAAATTACTGATCCATATTTATTTTTGTTATCAGGAAGTACTACTGTTCCCTGCTATGAAACCAGATGACCCAAACAAACACAATGCTGAAGGAGAAAATGCATCCGCCGAACCTCCAGTTCAAAATGGAGCCTGAACAATTAATTATTAAGTTTCTGATTGTGTGAAATGCCTTCTTTATGTTATAATAACTAACACTGATTTTCTTTTTAACAATAAATTATGTTATTACATGAACTTGGTTTTAACTTGTTGAGTCAGTCATTATAGACACAATTAAAACACAAATAGGTTGTGGTCACCGATGACCGCTCGGTGTTTGACAGTTTAACCTCTTGACTGCCGATATACATGTATATAAGACACAATAGAAAATGTAGTGCGTCTCGCATAGATCTACATTCAGGCACACGACGGGTTAAATGAAAAGATTTCTATACAAAATAGTTACTTTATTTATTAAATTAAATAATATAAAAACCAGAAATGTGGACACAGTAATATTTACATGTACCTTAGTAATTCGTAATTAAATGCATTATGGCATAGCATGTACTATGTACACATTGAAGTAAGTGTGATTGGCCTGAGATTGTAGTATTGAATATCTACATCTTATAAATAGAATTGATTACTAAGCTTCAATTTCACCTTGAACAGTTGAGTTATAATGTTCACCTAATCCATACATATGTCTATGATAAGTTATTATTAGAGGTGGTTTCTCATATTCATCTCCTTGGTCAATAGAACCAGGTCCAGTTGCTTGAATTATTGTTATTGGACATTGTAAGGAATTAGACAAGGCTCTAACCTCCACTTGACCACCCCACACTTTAGTATTTTCAAGTTTGTCACAATATTCCTCAAAATCTTCATCAGTTAACATTTCAAATGTGTCAGGATGTGTCATGAATGGAAGGAAATCACCTTTATTATGTCTAATGTACTTTGCAGCACTACCTCTTAATTCATCTACAGATACATCTTTCTGCTTGATGATTGACAGTTGATGAGAGACAGCTTTATACAAACAGTCACCATCTGATGGTATCATGAATATTTTTAGGCCTCTTTCTTTCAATTTATTATTAATTTCCTGCAGTTCAATATTTCTAGGCCCATGTCGATTTTCCTGTTCCTGTTGCTTTATTAGTTCATCTCTTTCTTTTTCTTGCTGAGACTTCTTATCTCTGCGTTTTTGAGCTTTAGAAATTTTTACTTTTGATAGTTCATTTTCTACATTGTTGAAAGCAGGGTCTGGTTCATTAGTATTCAGTAGTTCATTAGTATTTTTATTGGCAGAATCAATTTCTTGCTGATGCCTAGCATCCATTTCAGTTTCTAACCTTAATATTTCTGCTGTTAACTCTTTCTTTTTGGTCTTATCATTTTTTGCGGCTTTTTTCAACGCTTGTATTTGTGCTTGTAGTTCCTTCTTTTCTTTTCGATGTTTACTTTCTAAGACTGCTAATTCATTATCTTCAGTATCCATTTTCTAAATAGGTATATTTAATCGAATCAACTATGGAACAGGTGCTTTTGGTGTGATGAAATTGCGATTAAATTTTTAGAACTTGCCTGATTTCATTTTCAATTCACTTCAGCAGGACACAGAACTATCATTGTGACACTGATGACACTGATAGGTACTGTCTAACTGTCATGTCTCAATTTTTCATCTATGGTAATAGTGTTTTTTTTATGGAATAGGAGGTAAACAAGCGGACGGATCACCTGATGGTAAGCGATCAGCGCCGCCCATGGACACCCGCAACACCAGAAGAGTCACAGCTGTGTTGCCGGCTTTAAAGGAGTACAAGGTTTGAAGGTGGTATCGGTTCGGAAATACCGCCGACGACAGATCATTCCACAGTTTTGCTGTGCGAGGCAGGAAGCTACGTGAGAAGCGTACAGTTGTAGCCTGCCAACCATCTATATGATAGGGATGCATGAATATGCTGTCGTGAGGGTCGATGGCGAATAGATGCGGCAGGTATCAGGTCAAACAATTCCTCAGAGCACTACCCGTGGTATAAGCGATAGAAAATGCACAATGAAGCTACATCTCTACGCATTGCCAAAGTGTCCGGCCGGTTTAAAACATCCCGACCTCTAACAATCTAAACGGAATGCCGCTGAATGCGAAGCTGGTACTGGGGTGCCCCGCCCAAAGATGAGAACAGCATTCCCTGTAGAGCCGCACCTGTGCCTCATATAGAAGCAAGCGGTGGGCCGGGGTAAAATACTGCCTCGATCTGTTGAGCACACCAAGCTTCCTTGAGGCTAATTTGGCCTTATCCTCTAGATGACCGCAAAACTGGGCGTCGTTCGAAATGCTGACACCAAGTATTCCAATACCGGCTAAGGCAGTTAGGGTTAGGTTAGGTTAGGGTGCTTTGAAACTGAGCGGCAAACACGCAGACCTGTAAAGTGTAAGTGTATGTAACTAACTCAAAATAATACATTTGCTGACCTCAACCTCAGACAAGACCTCTATCCATTTTGAGGTCTTGAGGTTGAAAGAGATCGGCGATCAAGCAAGACAGTAGTGTGTGGCCCTTTTTTTCAGTGTGGCATAGTCTGAGTTTGCCTTTATTGCTGAACAAATAATGCCTTACCTACGCCATTGACAATGAAACAAAACTTGCTTGACATTAATTTGACAATAATTGATATTGACAGTGACGGGTACAGCAACCCAACCAACACAACCTTATTAGAAACCGCCAAGCAAGTTATTTTCATCTTCGTGGTTTTAGTGAATGTGGTAATTCCTTGCTCTATTATTTGGAAATATATTTATGTGATAATTTTTCTTGTAATATTGTTGTGGAAGAATGAATCCTTGTTCAGTCGCTGCGCCTCAACAAGACACTGAAGGGGATGGAAGATGGTATAGCATTGTAAGTTTTCTATTATAATATTAATTCTCGAGCCGTTACAATTTGCTAATATAGACGGTTGAATTCACAGTAAATTTTCTGATTCATATACGTGTTAAAAATTTTAATTAGTTTCGGATTGCATTTGCTGACCTAGATTGTTAATAATCGGCAAATTCAGATTACTGTAATCTAACACTAATCCGGTAACCAGTAGTTTTATGTGCAGTAATAATATGTGAGTAGAGTGGTGGAAACCCTACACTGATTAGATGTAATTATTTTAAATTATTAAACTTCTATGTGAGTTCCATGATTGTAATCAATAAAAATGTATTCTAATCACTAATTCCTTTTACAGCATAATCGATTTTTGTCAGATGCCAAAGGGAAAGATGGTGATGTAATTTTCATTGGAGATTCAATTTTACAAGCTCTTGAGCATACTGAAGTATGGAACCAGTGGTTTGCACCTCTGCATTGTCTCAACTTCAGCATCCACAAGGATCAGACTCAAAATGTTTTGTGGCGCATTAAGAATGGAGAACTTGACCATGTTGATCCAAAGGTATGTAGTACACTTAGTGGTAAATCTTATCTACTTATTCATATCATAAGTTTGAGTATGAGTTTCACATCTTAAGTTTGTGTTGTGTTTCAGGTAATAGTTGTACATGTTGGAACAAACAATGTGGAATATACTGCTGAGCAAGTGTGTGATGGTATCCTAGAAATAATTAGAACAATCAGGGAGAAACACCCAAGTGCTTACATAGTATTGCCTGTAAGTATTGATTCTAACCATCATTTCTTTGTCTAAAATCTTGTTTCACTGTAAAATTACTAATATCAAATTGTTATTTCGATTTCAGAGTCTACTTCCTCGAGGTCAACACCCTAATTTGTTAAGGGAGAAAAACTCCACAATTAATCAACTGTTACGTGAAAAAGTATCCAATATTAATAAAGTGGAAATGGTTTCAATAGACAAAGGGTTTATACAAACCGATGGCACCATCAGCCACCATGACATGCATGACTACCTCACACCAACCAATGCAGCCTGTAGGAAAGCATTTGAACCTATCTATGATCTCCTGCAACAGATCCTATTTGAGGGAGAGCCTGAAAAAGACTTAACACCTTCTGAATAATACTGTTCTATTTAGTACTATATGGCAGCTTTTTTTGCAGCAGGTTATTGTGATGATACCAGTAGTACTTATCATTAGCTTTTTATAATAAGCCTAAGTGTCAAACATTTTTAAATATTGTTAACTTATAAACCTCTACATTCCAAATTAGCATTATGATATTTTAATCGGCTGTGTTTATTTAATCACTCCACTTTTAATATTTTTTATTTATTATTGCTTATTATGTTTACAAGCTTAATTTAGCTTTTAAGATAATGCATTTTATGTGCACACTTTATTTGTGCACAACAGGGTTAGTACTTACCTACCTATCTAGTATTTATTTTTTCACATCCATGATATGATTTTATGTAACTTAAGAAACCTTGAGAAAAGTATTATGTTACTATTGTTATTTTTTAGAACCTCTTTTTTGGAGATATGTAACAAAGCAATGTTTTAGTTTAATTTTAGAATGTTAAATTTATTCTATCTGGAAGGTACTCCCACAAGTACATATTAGTCTTTATCTTATTTACTAATCTATTTTTATTACTTTGCACATCACATTAATGGAATTGTCTATTACTATAACCAAAGATCTTGGAAGATTACCTTACCAAAGTTATAACAATATACGAATTGCATTGGATGATTTTAAATGCAATTCTATTTTTGATAAAGACCTACTTACATTTTTAAATAACATAATAAGATCTGTATGAATAAGTACATTGTTTTAGACTTGTTTTCATTTGTTGCAAATGTATTGTGTAGCGAATGTTGCACAAAATGTGCATCCAACACAGATAGTTAATTATTCTCCAATATCACTGTAGGCATGTTTAGTGACTATTTAACTGATAAGGTACTCATGTTGCCAAACAAGTTTGCTTGAATCTCGAAATGTTATGGAATATTTATTTGCATGATGAAGCTTGAAAGTAAACAGTGCAATTATTTCTATATAACCAAATGTTGTTTTATTTATTATCCTGTTCTTACATAGAGCAACACAGGCCACCGGCGGCCTCGTGTTCTATGTGTTCATATAAGTCATTATTATGCAATTTTCATATAGGAAGTAATTGTAAAAAACCCGACGTCAACCGCTTCTTTTTTTGAAGTCATTCATACGATTGTCTTATTATCTGCCTGTCGTATTTGTTGTGTCGGTCGGCTTTGTCGTCTCGTTCGGATTTGTCGTGTCGGTCGGATTTGTCGCGTCTGTCGGATTTATCATGTCGGTTGGATCTGTCGTATTGGTCTGATCTGTCGTGTTTGTCGTGTCGGATTTGTCGCATTTATCGTGTCGGTCGGATCTGTCGTGTCGGTCGGATTTGTCGCATTTATCGTGTCGGTCGGATTTGTCGTGTCGGTCGGATTTGTCGTGTCGGTCGGATCTGTCGTGTTTGTCGGATTTGTCGCATTTGTCGTGTCGATCGGATCTGTCGTGTCGGTCGGATTTGTTGCATTTATCGTGTCGGTCGGATCTATCGTGTCGGCCGGATCTGTCGTGTAGGTCGGATCTGTCGTGTCGGTCGGGTATGTCACATTTATCGTGTCGGTCGGATCTGTCGTGTTGGTCGTGTCTGTCGGATTTGTCGTATTTGTCGTGTCGGTCGGATTTGTCGTGCCGGTCGTATTTGTCGTGGAAGAATTTATCGTGTCAGTCGTATTTGTCTTGTGGTTGGATTTGCGTGTCGGTCGGATCTGTCGTGTCGATCGGATCTGTCGTGTCGGTCGGATCTATCGTGTCGGTCGGATCTGTCGTGTCGGTTGGATCTGTCGTGACGGTCGGATCTGTCGTGTCGGTCGGATCTATCGTGTCGGTCGGATCTGTCGTGTCGGTCGGATCTGTCGTGTCGGTCGGATCTATCGTGTCGGTCGGATTTGTCGTGAAAGGATCTGTTGTTTGTCGGATTTGTCGTGTCGGTCGGATCTGTCGTGTCGGTCGGATCTGTCGTGTTGGTCGTGTCTGTCGGATTTGTCGTGTCGGTCGTATTTGTCGTGGAAGGATTTGTCGTGTCAGTCGTATTTATCTTGTGGTTGGATTTGTCGTGTCGGTCAGATCTGTTGTGTTTTGTCATATATACATATAACATCGCGCCTTTTATCCCCGAAGGGGTAGGCAGAGGTGCACATGCACAATTCCAGACTCCGTGCTACTACTGAGATTTTTTTAAAAACCCAATACTTCCTAAATTTTTTAATTTTTTCTTACCTAATCGAACCCGAGACCCCTTGCCCGACAGTCGCACTTGCGATCACTCGGCCAACGAGGCAGTCATGTCGGTCGGATTTGTCGTGTCGGTCGGAAATGTCGTATTTGTCGTGTCGTGTATATATACGAAAACCTCCTAAGTGTAACAAACATTTCTCTGATATCCATATCAAAGTCTGTTCAGCCAATCGCGAGATAATCGCGCAACAACATCCATACATACAGGTTAAACTGAGTACCTCACTTCCTTTTGTGAAGTCGGTTAAAAAAGACATTTATGGAAACAAAGATCTACATTTATTTGTATAACATCTACTCTTTAGTATATAGTTTTAAATTAACTACATTACGTTGCTACATTGAACATTTACTAAATTGTACTTAATATTTCTTGAGTAATCTGTTATAGTACAGCTTGAATGGTAGGATAGGACTAGCTTGGAAGAGTGACCTGTCAAATATGTTAAAGTTTCTCTTTTGAAGTTTCGTTAAATAGTTGTGGACAGCTGTAGCAGGTAGAAATATCTGCCTGGCAGTTTCAGGAACATTTATTTTTCTTGCCTGAAAATAGAAAAATAGTCAGTTAAATTCAGTCAGGTTTAGTTTATTATAATTAGTTAATGAAGAACCTTTTTTTTTGTGATTGTAATTACAGTTACATCTGACAACCTCTATGTTAGACTCCAGAGTCAAAACCATGACAACACTATCAAAATTTGGTATTACCACTCAGTAATGTTTAGCAAAACTGGATTTGTAAAAAGAATAACTTCTACAACTTCTATACCTTTTCTAAATGGCTATTTGCTCTTGAAGCAATTTCAAAGACTGCATTTCTCATTTGTTCACTATCAGTACATCTGAGGACATTTTCTTGACTTAATTGATACTTCATAAGTATATCCATAGGCAAGAAAACTATCTTCTGACGACTGGATACATGGACAGATCTGTAACCAATTGATAGAGTAGATGAAGCATTTGTTGTGATCGCAAACTACTGATCTTTTATCAAAGCTGCAAGTTCCAGACCTTAGTATATTGGTTATACCCTGAGCCTTTCCCAAATGTGATGCGGCATGGTCAGCATGGACATCTTTAACTCCTCCTATACCTAAGAGAAGGTAATACACAGAAGATACAGAGTCTTCAGAATATTTCTCAATGTCCTCTAAACTTTTAAAATATTTAGCCTTGTTCATGTTACTTCTTGATGTGATTAGTTTTTCCAAATGTCTCCGTTGCAATCCATAACAGCAACATACCTGAAAGCATGTTATCAATGTTTTACATTGAATTATTGTTCTAAGTAACTATTGTATCTTCTACTAACAGTACTACTAATCAGTAATACTGTTCTTTTAAGTTATTATTATACCTTAAACAGCTCTTGTGCTACAGGATTCGCAGGTACGTCTTTCAGTGTCTGTTCTTTGTTAAACATTCCCTTAAGGGCATCATGCCAGAATTGTAACCGAAATGCAGCAGTTTGTGAATCAGATGTTAAGTCTTGCACCCGAGCTACTTCTACGTTGAAAGCTCTCAATACAAAGGCAGGGGAGCGCAGAGACTTCGTCATCAAAAGAGTAGCCAAGAAGTTTTCATAATCATGCTGTCTATCTGCAAAATATATAAAGTACCAGAATATGCGATATATTGATTGGTCTAAAATTCCAAATGCTTCTTCTGCGACGTACATCTATATTAATATTGCACAAATATTTAAAGTTCTTACAAATATTGTACTAATTACTTTACTATATCTGCACAATAGTCGATTGATGATGTATTTGCTGTAGCTTCATTAGGTTCTGTTTTGATTGATCTTGAAACTACTCTCACGGGTTTAGAAGATTCGAATATGCGTATAAATATTCTGTGTTTATTCATTTTTATAGAGAAATGAAAGGATTTTAAGTTAAATAACCCTATTATTCTATCAGCTGCTCAACAAAAATTCACAGATTCACTTCTTACTGACATTGTCAAATTTGACATTAGTCATGCGTCATGCAGTGACATTTTAATTTTTTTTCGAATATCGTAAAACTTTTCTGGCTAAACAGCAATGTTTACAACTTTTCCCCGCGCTTGCGAATGAAAATATCCTCGCTCTTGTGCTCACTGATATGATAAGAGTTATATTTATAAATCTATGCTTGTGCTCTACAACCATAAATAATCTGAGTACCTACCTAGCCGACCTACATAAATTCACAATATTTATGTTGTGGTGGCCCGTGAGGCCGGTGGTGGGTAAAAAAATACGAACCTGCTTTACGTACTAAGATTATTACACCACTAACGACATACTAGTAGACGGCATAGACGTAGGTTATAGAAGTTAAGCCTCGTGAGGAAATATGTAGATACTTAAAAATTTGCAAACTTGGTGATTAATGGTCTCTCCTTTCTGTGAGATAAGAAGTACTTTGCAGTTACAGGGGGTCGATAATAATGATCCATTGACTAATAATATTCATTAGTATTGATTAAAAAAAAATAGAAACTGCGTTTAAAAAACCGAATAATTAACTAAAAATCACGGGTTAAGTAATCACGTGAATATAATGAGAAAAGCTCAACTAGTTTCGAACCACAGTGGGGTTCTTCCTCATGAGCAGCGTGCGCGGTCGCGGCGACGTCGCGTATCCTACATATACCTACCTAGCGTTGGCACTTGCTTCGGTGTTGTTATTTGCGCTGGAGGCTCACTGTAAGTACCGGTCTGTGTGAGTCAGTTTATGATACATTGTGTGTGACAATCGACCGTCTTCTTCTCGTCTTACGAGGACATTCAAGAACGGCTTGTGCCAATCTAACAACTAGCAGTTGTTTTCCATTTTGGCGCGGAGTTTGAGTTGCATCTGTTATTTATATTAGATACAGTACTGGTTTTAGTAATATCATATAGTGTGTATTGCGAATTTCATAATGGACAAAAATATCGAACAAAGAGTTTGTTTTAAATTATGCATAGCCAAAGGAACTTCGTGTTCGCAGACACTGAAAATGTTACAGAAGGCTTACGGTGAATCGACTTTATCAAAAACTCGTGCTTATGAGTGGTTCAAAGCGTTCAAAAGCGGTCGAGATGTGATGGAAGATTTGCCTCTCTGGTAGACAGTCAACGTCTGCAACTGAAGTTAACATCACAAAAGTGAAAGAAATATTGACTGAAAATCCCCATTCAACTCTGTATCTCACGAGTCGATCCGTACCATTTTAACTAATCATTTGGGTATGAAACATGTTGCTGCTCGGCTAGTCCCAAAAGATCTGAATTTTCTCCAAAAACTCAATCCCGAGTCAGTTCGGACCCAACATTCATGAAACTCATTGTTACTGGTGACGAGACGTGGGTTTACGAGTTTGACATGCAAACTAGTCAACAAGTTTCGGAGTGGCGCCTTCCAACTGAACCGAAACCGAAAACACCACGCCAAAGTCGATCAAAAGTCAAAGTCATGTTTTCTTTGACTATCGCGGTGTTGTGCACTCTGAATTCTTACAGGAAGGTCTAACGGTAAATAAAGAATATTATTTGAGCGTTATGCGTCGTTTAAGAGGGCAAATTCGACGAATAAGGCCAGATTTGTGGAAAGAAAATTCTTGGATTTTGCACCACGACAATGCGCCTTCGCACAAGGCTATCATTGTGAACGAATTTTTGACCAAACACTCAACAAATACCATCCAGCAACCACCATATTCACTCTTATATATATATTCTTTTTCCTAAACTCTAATTACCACTTCGTGGCACCTGTTTTCAATCGATAGAAGACATAAAGGAGAATTCGTGGCGAGAACTGAACTCAATTCGGGAAGCAGCGTTTAAAAACCGGTTTTGATGACTTTACGGTTTTGTATGCCCTAGAATATACTGAGAAAATCTCGAACAGAGCATAAAAGGAGTGGCTATGGGGTCGCCACAAAACCAAAAACCGGAGCTAGGTCCGGTTTTAGCAAAAAATCCAATGTAGTGTATTTAACTGAAAAAGAACCATCATTTTTAAAATAGTGGATATTTTAAAAATGGTGTTTGTTTTTCTAAGTCTACAAATAAGACAAATTGTATGATACATTTCTTTTTCAAAGCATAATAATTGTACAGATAACAATGAACTTATAATAGTATAAAGATTAATTAACTGAGATCAAAGCAACAAAATTAAATTTTTGGTATCTTTGGTACCTATTAAGTTTGCTATCAAAAATAATATATTTTAAACATAGAAGACACAATCAGAATCTTCAAATATTAAACACAGCCACCCACAATTACCAAAAAAAACAACATTTTTGTAACTTTGAAGACGAACTACAAAATCACATTATTATAATATGATTCATATTGCACTAAAAAGAGATCAATATTCAACTTAGTATAGTACTGTGGATGCAGGCTGTGTTCGGTTCGGATACATTTGATGCCTCAAAATTTATTATTTTTTGAGTGTTCGAAAAAAGTTTTGATAAAAATCAAAATGTTAATTGTTACTCAATAAAACAAAAACTAAATATAAACAAAAAGTAAATACTGAAAAACAAAAAATAACTATTACCCATTAGTACATACCTACGGATACCTTATCTTACATCTTGCTTTGTTGCTTATAAACAATGAAAACTGTCAACGAAGCGGCAACGATATATCCGCCTATGTTAGATATTCTAATTTCAAAAATAGACAAATACAATATTAATAGCATTAGTACGAAGTTCCCAATCTCCTCAAATTGCTAATCCCCAAAAGGTCGGTAACGCACTTGACGACACTTGTGTTTCGGGTTCACCCTCTGGTGTTTAAGGAGTCCATAGGCGGCGCCGATTGCTTAAAATTGCTTCCATAAAAAAGAGGTCTTGTCTTCTTTCATAAAAAGAGGTATCTTGAGGTAGGCAGGCATGTTAGTACATATATCTGAAATTAGAATAAAAATAAAAATGTGCACCCTCTGTTTATCTATTCAAAGATTAAATAAAAAACGTAAAATGAGTTGTGTATTTTGGCCTCGGAATGGAACTCCTTCCGTTCGAGTAACTTGATAAAGGAGCCTTGTCTTTCTTCTTTTGGATTTATTTTCTTACGAAATCTAAAAAAAAACTTACATTTTCTCTGGGAGGCACCGGACTACTTTGAAGTTTACCTATGTCTGGTCTTTACCAGGATTGACGATACGATGACTAAACGATTCTCTTGAATGCAAGAAATGCGGCTGTCTCGTCTGAGTATCAACCAGTATGAGTCGTTGACACTTGGCTTTATAAAATGTGTTTAAAGTTGTTTTTTTATTTATATACTTTTTGTTGAAGTAAATGCCTTCAGATAAATATCACATTTTCACATTTTCACATTTTTGTTAAAATACTCATTTAATTTGTTTTGTTCTGTTAATCAATAACATTGGTATTTCTAGTAGATTATATACATAAAAAGAAATAAATTTTGGTAGCAGGTGATGTTTTTGCTAAATAATGGTGCTGGTAATTGACTTATTAATATCTATCAGCTTATTTGCATTTCTAGTTTCATCGAACCGCACAAGTATAAGTGAGTTGTAAGGTAAAGTTATCGTCATTATAGTTTGTCTATTCTATGAAAATGTCGTGCCGATTACGGGACCGTAAAGAATGGGACGTACGGGCTTCTACTTTAGCCCGAAATACATTCAATCCCATAAGAGATATTATCGAAACACTTAAAATTAAACCGAATCCGGATATACCGTACATCGCCCTCTCAGTAGGTGAGTAACTATTTCTTATTTAACTGCACTTTTGCTCAAAAATCAAAATAGGTGTTAACAGATTTCTTCACCTCGTTATTATAGCATGAAAATATAGCTTGTTTTTAAGTGTGTCTCATACTCCTGATAATATTGGTAGTTATACGTTTTTTTTTCCAAAAATACGGCTGTACCTAAGTACTGTGTGGCTGCACTATCGGCCTCAACGAACTAATAAACTTAGTTATAGTTCGCTGATCGGCCACTAATTGCATATGCGGCTACAGTCGGTCATATAAATATGGCCAGAACAAAAATGTTTCAACAAACTTTTTGTTTGAAAAAAAATGTTGCATGGTAATATTAATTTGCAATGTTGCCGAACATTGTGTTGCAGCCTATTAATTAAAGACAAATGTTGTGCGTAAACTGGGTATTAGACGCACCTTAAAACTAAGATAGTATTTTCATCGGATTTAGTGAAGAATATTACTTAGCTGTTATTTCAACAATTTATTTAGCAATTTTTAGAGTCTTATTTAGGCAATTATAGGCAAAATTTTGTTTTAAAAAGTACCTACAAAGTTTCCATTATTTTTTTGCAATGTTGAATGTAATATAGCAGAATACAGTCTATTGTCGTGCAACAGTTTCCAGACAACAGACGATGAAAACACCTCAACTGTTACATTTTATCACACGGGGTGTAAGGAGTGACGTACCCTGGCGCCAGAGTCACGGGCCGCCATTCCATTGGAGAACTCGTTGCGCAAATAAGTTCGCGCGCAAAAATTAATGTTCACGAGCTTTTTTAGTAGTTCTGAGATCCGAAAGAGCTTTAGGATATTTATTGCACTCTACACAGACAGCATGGGTTGTAGTAACGGTTTTTAGACGCCCAATGGTTTACCACCACTTTTAAAATAAATTGTGTGCCAGTGCAATCATCATCATCATCAACAGCCTATAAATGCCCACTGCTGAGCAAAGCCTCTTCTCACACGGAGAAGGTTAGAGCATTAATCACCACGCTTGCTCAATGCGGGTTGGCGATTTCAAACTTATAATTGGAAATTATAAGTCCAGGTTTCCTCACGATGTTTTTCCTTCACCGTTTGTCAGTGGTGTCTAAATAATCTTAGAAAGTACATATAACTCGGAAAAAGTCACATTGGTACTTGCCGTTGGTAGGTTTCGAACCCGCACCCTCATGCATGAGAAGTGGGCGTCTTAAACCTCCGGGCCACCACGACATTTGTCAACCAGTGCAATGGCCAAAGTTAATAACCGACCTCAACATAGACACCACAATCTTTGAATGACGATGGATTTTTAACATTGGTTAAATAAAGTTTCTATGAAAAACAGAGATCGATTCATCGATTTCGAATAGATTTTCAATTGAGATAGGTTACCTATTAATTTAACCATAAGTAAGCCCGTCAGCCGATCAAATGGGTTTCGTGGAAGGCTTTCATTAATCCTTATTATCCTATCTTACCTACTTACTTCATGAACTAGATTCCGGAGCAGAAATGTAGTTTTAGGTAAGTATTAAGGTCGTAAAGATATCAAACCGAATCGAATCCCTAGTCTAATGTCTGGTGATTGCTCACCAGTTGCGTTTGTGACTAAGTGTTTGATTCGAACAATGAACCAATCAATTTAACAATGACGGTTTACAGTTCAATTTAATTTACTCAGTGAATATTTTAATTTTTTATCTGTCTAGTACTCACGCGAGATTCCTTTTAAGGTCTTTATCATTCAGCTGACAGTTTAATAAATACAGAATCTAGCACATAAACATGCTTCGATCTGTCGATATTCTTCAATAGATTTTAAACATTATTTCAAGACGAAAAAGTTTCAATTTTTTTTATAAGAAGTTTGATTAATTCTAGTAAGGCGATAGTACTTAGGTTTTTACTCGGCAAAGTACCGAATGAAATGGCCCGTTGTCTCGGGTCGAGTTTACACTTGTAGTAGATAATGACCTCAGAGCATAGTACTTCTTAATAAGTGTCATAATAATTAATGCTTACTTTTATTGCTTGGGTTAGTAACAGTTATTTACTGATCACTTCTTTTGGTTGCATCATAGTAATAAAGTTGATTAGGAACCTATTGTATTATTCTGATGAAGGATTTTACATTAAGTAATAGGTAAAATTGCTTCGTGGAAAGTTTATGGTCGTTTTAAATACTTTTTAATTACCTACCTTAGCCCTGGTTGGTTTGTTATTGTGACCTAGGACTTGAGCTTTCCTATTTCCTGTGATGTTATTTGTATTGCATTTGTTAATTTCCGTGAATGCTTAAACTACGGTAGGTAACGATATTGCTTTTATTTATAATTTGTTCTTAATCACTTTGTAATACTTACTTTTTTGTAATATGACCGTCTTTTGTAAATTTTCGATTCCTCAATTTTTTGTAGAAATGTAGAGCACAAAAAATTTGCTGAATCCGTTGCTCATTGGTACGTCTACGATGGTCGCTATGGCAACACCGAAAGTCCGATAAGGATCTTATTAAGAATGCCGTAAATATCAAAAGGTCCTTTTAAAAGGACATAACGACAAGTGTTTTGTTGGGTTTGGATAATAGGATAAACTATTAACAAACGGGTTTATTGTTTACTCTTTTTAATTTTTTCTGTCCTTGTATCGAAAGGAAGGTCTGGTTTTCTGGACACATGATCCTGCTATTGGTCACTGGATAGGAAAGTTTTGTATTTAACTCATAATTATGAAATTAATCAACAACAGTCAGGAACCCAGCTTTTTAGGATAAATCCGTCAGTTCGTACTTGATTAAACGCATATAATACGATATTTTTAACATTAAGAAGAGTCTTTCTACTAGGTTAGGGGTTCCCAACCTTTTCATGGTCGAGAACCAGAAATTTTTAGAACATTTGTTAGGTTATAGTGTCTACTACTAAGTTGGTATCACTCTCTTTCATGTGATCCGAATCAAAATTTTCTCCAGAGTACTTAGTAAGGCTCATTCTCATAACATTTCGATTATTGAAATCAGTTGAGTTGATCCCCTTAGTTGTCTAATTTTCAACATAAGTTTTATTCGGTTTAATGGTCGTATTTATTGAAAACACAGTCTAGTAATTAGACCTAGTAGTCATTCTTCCAAACTTCGTGCTATCCAGTCAGGAAGGCTACGTAAATTCATAATTTAATCACCACTACGAATCTTAAGTAGGTATAAACGGTTTTTCTTATAAATACATATTCTGCTACTAAAAATACCTGTACCTAAATGAAATGATCTGTTGATCAACATCACATGACACGATCATACGAACTATTTTTATTAAATAGCTTATAACAACAAAAGTCGCGCCAGTATTCCAACAGGTTTATTCGGTATTTGCATACCTATCTCTTCTAACTTTCTTACGAATTAATAAAATAAAATTTGTTAATTGTTGTACAGGTAAATAAACAAAAATATACTTAACATTTTTTATCGGGGAGTTGAGTATCTACTCCGAAAATAATCGCACAATTAAATTGATTCTTACATATACGTATGGCAGCGTTCTTGTGATAACTTTCGGATGCAGATATGCCTTTCTGCAACCTAACGGGTAACCGGGGCTCCGGATCGACGTACAGGAGAAGGAACGGAGTGGTTTTTAGTCAGTAAGAGTCTGACACTCCCTCCCGCCTCACCCAGGCGGGAGCAGTCATTCGATGATTTACCCCCTTAAAAAAAATGCCTTTCTGCTGTTACAATACTTAGTTGCAAAATTATACAACATTGAATTAATATTTTCAGATTTTTCAAAATCAAACAAACAAAACTTATATTTGTATTATAGCTTAACTTTCCTGAGACATACCTACTAAATAAATTATTATGTTTTCGGCTTACTCACGTAATTATTTGACGAGGAACTCGACCAGTTTCAACTTTCAAAGTTCTTCGTCAAATAATTGCGTGAGTAAGCCGAAAACTAATAATTTATCAAACAAAACTTGTCAGTATCTGCCGCTGCAGATAGGGCCCTGGTGACTTGTAAACTTTTAATCGAAATTAGCTGACCCAGCAAACATCGACCGCCTTAAATTTTTTATCTCGCCTTTTAAAGCTTCCCTAGACTTTCACGAAGATTTCCAAGGCCGAAATTAGCCAAATCGGTTCACCCGTTCTCGGGTTTTAGTGAGATTTACCAACGGAAATTCATTTTTATGGTCCCTGGTGACTTGTACCTACATCTTTAATCGAAACTAGCCGACCCAGCACACTTCGTACCGCCTTAAATTTTTTATCTCGCCTTTTAAAGCTTCGCTAGACATTCACGAACATTTCCAAGGCCAAAATTAGCCAAATCGGTTCACCCGTTCTCGGGTTTTAGTGAGACTAATCAACGGAAATTCATTTTTATGGTCCCTGGTGACTTGTACACTTATTATCGAAATTAGCTGACCCAGCAAACTTCGCACCGCCTTAAATTTTTTTATCTCGCCTTTTAAAGCTTCCCTAGACTTTCACGAAGATTTCCAAGGCCAAAGTTAACCAAATCGGTTCACCCGTTCTTAGGTTTTAATGAGACTAACCAACGGAAATTCATTTTTATGGTCCCTGGTGACTTGTAGGTACACTTTTAATCAAAACTAGCTGACCCGGCAAACTTCGTAACACCTCAAACATTTTTTTCACCGTTTAAACCTTCCCTGGACTTAAAAATTAATTCAAGACCAAAATTAGCCTAATCGGTCCAGCAGTTTTCAAGCTTTAGCGAGACTAACGAACATAACATAACATCACGCCTTATTGTCCCCGAAGGGGTAGGCAGAGGTGCACGTTACGACACTTAATGCCACTGTACAATGTAACACCCACTTTTCATACTTATGTTATGAGTACCATGTAATAGGGGGTGAGCGAACGAACATTTTTATAATATAGATATAAGTAGATACCCGAATCATGGCCACGGAACCCAACTTTATCGAACTCAACTTAGGTATAATCGCGAGAACCCTAAGTAGGTACCTATAAAATGCGCTTAAATTTTAGACATTTTTAAAAATATTTTTATCACGTGATACAAGCGTGTCGTGACTTCTATTTTAGTTTTGTTTCGTTATTTTTTAATGTTGAATATTTTAACTAAATTAGATTTTGATAGGTGTATATATCTTAATCTACACGGTTATATATGGATATTCACCCTCAAATATCGACTATGCGATGCGATATTGTTAGGCCAAGGGCCTAGAAAATATATTTCAATTTCTGAATTTTCCTGATTAAATCCAAATAAGTACATACCTAATAGTGTCTTATTATTATAGGTAGTGTGGTAGATCCTTTGTGGCTTTACAATAATGGTTAACAATTAAAAAAGTAAAAAAAAGAATAAAACTGACGACAAGACAACTTTACTGACGTCACTAGCATGCGGCATGCCATTTGTTTTGTTAGCACATAGTGGCATGTAACACTATCGAAAGGGCTGCGATTTTCCAATTTTCCCGCCGAATTGCGTTATGCAAGGACTGAGAAATTATCGGCACCTATTTATTTGTTTTTATTATTTGGTATTTTTTTTTAAGGGGGGAAAATCATCGAATGGCTGCTCCCGCCTGGGTGATGCGGTAGGGAGTATCAGACTCTTACTGACTAAAAACCTCCCCGTTCCTTCTCCTGCACGTCGAGCCGGAACCCCGGTTACACGTTAGGTTCTCCGCGACACTTGTTTAGACAAACAACATGCATCCATTTTTTGGCGACGAATCCGATACAACCGTGACACGTCTTTTATTAGTTAATCAGCACAAGCAAACTGCAACCTTATCGCCTCAACATATGGTCCTGTATCGAACATTATTTCGAGAGTTGAAACTATTTCTTTTTTCTTAACGTAATATAACATCTCGCTCTTTATTCACGAAAGGGTAGGCAGAGGTGTGCATTACGGTACTTAATGCCACTGTACAACGTAACACCCACTTTTCACGATTTATGTTATGAGTCCCATATAATAGGGGGTGAGCCTATTGCCATAAACCGGGCACATTTCCAGACTCCGTGCTAACAATTATTGAGATTTTTTTAAAAAACCTACTAATACTTTTCCCGACCCGGGAGTCGAACCCGAGACCCCTTGCCCGGCAGTCGCACAATTGCGATCACTTGGCCAACGAGGCAGTCAAGTGTTATAAAATAATATAAAAAACGGCAAAAATTTTTCCCAACGTTAAAAAAATTTATTATAATACTTATCATTCAAAGTGATAATGGTTTTACTTAATAATATATGCTTAATGCTTTTTCTTTGCTAATTTTGTTTACTATTCGCACTTATTAATATTTAAATTGTGTTTTATATACAACATAATAACAACCAAATAATAAATACTAAATGAGTTTTTTTACAATACTCTTATCTACTTTACATTAATTTATGGAAAACAAATGTCAATGGATTTGGTATCAACTCAAGTAGAGGTAAATAAAAATATTAATTTATACTTCTTACCACCCCTAAACTACATCTTAACTAACAGCTAAGAGGTACTAAGCATGAGGGAGCATCTCAATACTTTAACCGTTAGATACATTTTTTTTAAGGGGGGAAAATCTTCGAATCACTGCTCCCGCCTGGGTGAGGCGGGAGGGAGTGTCAGACTCTTACTGACTAAAAACCACCCCGTTCCTTCTCCTGCACGTCGAGCCGGAGCCCCGGTTACCCGTTAGGTTCTCCGCGACAACCGTTAGATGCATAGATGTGGTTAGATATTATTAGAAAGAAGAAAGAAGAAAGAAAAAGCATTTATTTGGCACATGGCACACAAACAAAGATTATGAAAAAAAAAATACAAGTACATACTTACACAAATACATAATATCAAAAGGAAACATAAAAGCATAAAGAAAATAATAAAAATCATCAAAATATAAGAAAATAATGTACATATGAAACAATTGAAATAAGTTTTTGATATAAAGACAAATTAAATACACAAAAAAAAAACACCACACCAACTATTAAACGTAGGTGAAAACCGATCTTATCTTAGGGGTTTCTTAAAGTTTAAGAGGGGTTGGTGAAAATGGGCACCACTTAAATATTTTGTTGTTAACTGGACTTATAAGACAACCCTATAAGTATTTTAATTTATTTCTAAAAATCATGAAATTGCACTAGTGTTTAAAAATTTCGTGAAATTTATGAACGATTTTAATTCTTTACTAACTGTTGCCCGCGACTTCATCCGCATAGAATATAAATATTATAAGATAACATTTTTGTTTCAATTTTCCAAGATAATAAAGCCTATGTTACTCCTCCTTAGTATATTAGCTACCTGCCAATAAAAGTCTTGCAAAATCGGTCCAGCTATTCTAGAGATTGGCCAGTAGGCACAATACAGACCGACGGTGGCACAGTGGTCACGTGCCGCCGTACACAGCAAGGCTTAAAGGAGACACCCCTCTCCCTAGGGATGTGTCGTAACAGGCGTTGCACCGTGGAGGCTCTGGAGCAGGTCTCTTTTAGAGGACCCGGTGCCTCCATTCAGGTGTTGAGGGTGGTTTTAGTGAGGTAAAAATCCCACAGTCTTTTATTCCCAAAAAGGCTGGGCGCCTTGTGAAGGTTACCCCCGTCAACCAAAAAAAAAAGGTACAATATAGACAGATAGACAAAATTGTAGGTATGTGTATTGTATGTATATTCATATGCTTGTACTAAAAGGCGGTAAAAAGCGGTTATTAATTTTATTTATCTGTATAGATGTATAAATTTAGAACTCGATACTTAAGGAAAAGTCAAGCAAAAATACAAAGACAAGTAGAGAGGCTTATTTTTTATTTTAGAAACTGATTAACACATATTAATGAAAATTCATCAAAGGTCCAAAATCAAGAAAGAATAAAAAATGTTATATATTAATGAAACAAGTCTATTTTACATACGATTCTTAGAACTATATTCTTAAATATTTTATTTAAATGTCAATGCGCATAAATAAATATTTTATTCAGCTAACTGCGAAGTAATCGCAGACGGGACCATTAGTATGAAAATATATTTTGTCTAGTCAAGTTAAAATTTTTGTAATAATTAATTCTTGATTAAGGAAAAACATTATTTAATGTAATCATGTCTCGTTGGATGGTAAATGCTCAACTTCTGTTGGAAAAACTGATACTAGACTAGACACAGGTCACGAAAAACGACAAGATTTTCTTGAAATTATTGAGCAGAGATTGAGCACTTCTAAAATTGCATAGTCATGATAAATAAACATAAGAGCTACAGACTATCATTTAATACCGAAATCTATTTTTTAAATATTCGGATAATTAATTTAAAATATGTCAATAAATTATATTACGAGCTGAGAGTGCATGCGACCTTTCAAAAATATGAAGATTTTATTTTATTTTTAGTCGACTTAGTTGTGTTTGTAGTTCGTTCGTGAGGAATGTAGAATTGAATTAACAATTTATTAAATTATCGTATAGTTATGATTTAGTTCCATTTTTATTTGTAATAATACCCGAACTGAACATTGAACAATAAATTTTGTTCTATAGTTACAACATGTTTTTACTTCCTAATTTAAATGATATTATGGTCTTAATGAATTAGGGGTGAACCCCAAATATATCTTTTGCACGATTATAACCCAAAAAATCTCTCAATTTCAGGCGATCCAACTGCTTTCGGTAATCTGCAACCTTCTGAGAACATCATTGACACTATTTGTGAGATGGCCAGGTTAAATGATTCTCGCAGCTATGGGCCTACCATTGGACACTGGGAGGCTAGACAGGCGGTAGCAGAATACAGTGCTCACCAGGGTCCTGTGACGGCAGACGACGTGATCCTCTGCAGTGGCTGCTCACACGCCATTGATATAACCCTCAGTGTCATCGCTGACGCTGGACAAAACGTTCTCATTCCACGACCTGGTTACTTGATACACAAGACTCTTGGAGAAGGATTGGGGATCGTTATCAAGTATTATGATTTATTGGTGGGTAGTTTTCAGTTAGCATAGCTGGGTGGAATTTTTATATGTTTTCACTTTCATTACAATTCTGTAGTTAATAAATTAGTTGTCTTAAATATCTAATTCGTATTTAAATATAGTATTTATTTTTAGCCTGACGAGGACTGGCAAATCGACCTAGTGAGCCTGGAGAGCCAAATAGATGAAAATACAGCAGCTATCATCGTGAATAATCCATCTAACCCGTGCGGCTCAGTTTATACCAAGAAACATTTAAAAGACATTATCGAGGTGGCATTGAGAAATCGCGTGCCGATAATTGCGGACGAAATTTACGAACACTTCGTTTTCTCCAAACACGAATTCACTTCATTATCGTCTCTTTCTAAGGATGTCCCAGTTATAACATGCAGCGGAGTCACGAAAAGATTTCTTATTCCCGGTTGGCGAATGGGTTGGATAATCATACACGACCGTAACAATATTCTGGGTAAAGAAGTCCGCAAAGGCCTGTTTAGTATGTCAACGCGGATTTTGGGACCGAATACATTGCTGCAGAGAGCTCTCCCGAGAATTCTGAAGGAAACTCCACAGAGTTTCTTTGACGACACGATGAGGTTTATTGAGGTAAGATTAAGAACTTTTAAATACACAAATTAATTATGAACCTGCAAATCTCTTTGTTTTGAGACAATTTTTTTGAATTAATTTTCATTTTTGTCATATTGGTTCTTCTATTAGACCTAAATACCGAGTAAGCCCGCGACCGGGGGCTTACTCCTGAATTCTATTCTAATTGATCGACTTTGATATTGTGAAATTTAGTATTTTTGAGTTGCACCACTAGCGCCCATTGCATCCGTATTGCATGGATATTTAATGAACTAAAGGGTATTGAGTTTGGTTATAATATATAATTATTTCGTACTTTGAATGCTATTTTAACAACTATGATGGTGGTATAATTTTGACATTGAATAATTATTGACATTTTATTGGATTGAAATTGCATTGACATTGAGATTGGTTTCAAGAGTCAGCAACCTGGTACCTATGCGGTTTCATTCTTACTAATATGTTTGTTCATTGTTTCAGAATCAAGCACATTTGGCTTATCAGGAGCTACAAAAGTCCCCGGCTTTACGTCCGATCATGCCTCAAGGGTCCATGTACATGGTGGTTGAAATCAAAATGTCGTTGTTTCCTAAATTCGAGAATGAACTTCAATTTATTTCTCAACTCTGCAACGAGCAGTCGGTTCTATGCATTCCTGGGGAGGTGAATATATTATTCTATTTTGAAATGTTTGTAACTTAATAGTATTTGTTCGTAGTAAAAAGCCTGATGTTTCTATCATAGTGCTCTTAAATACCTATTGAAAGGAAGAGGATAACTCTTGATAACACATCTGCAAGGATATGATGTGGTGGACGTCGTAGAGTCAAATTCTATAGGATTTTATAAATATTTTCTACTTTCTTTTAAGGCATGCACACGACCGATGGTTACTGTACCTATTGTCGAATTAAACCACGCAGATATGTGTCCAAACGCAGATACTACCTACTTCAAACATAAATCGTCTCCACAGTGTCTCCATAAACACGTTTTCCTTTCTGATTATTATTAATTTCATTCCAGTGTTTTAACTACCCCAACTACATTCGACTTGTACTGACTGTACCCGAAGACATCTTGAGAGAAGCATGCCACAGAATCACAAAGTTTTGTGATGAACATATGATGAAAGAGAAATTAAAAATACCGGATAATGATATTGTTTCCATCGTCAACGGGAAGTCATCAGAGGTGTCTTCGAAGCAGCAAATGTTGAAGAATATATCTTAATTTTCTCTCTAATTCTGGGCCTGCGCATTAGAGGGACTTTTGTCCACTTGATTTGACTTGATACTTAATATTATAAATGCGAAAGTTTGTGAGTTTGTGTGTTTGTTTGTAACTCAACCAAGTCAAAACGGCTGAAAGGATAGAGTTGTTTGGATCAGGGATAGATTATTGTCTGGAATAATATATTGGCTATATTTTATCCCACGGGCAAGCGGGTGAACCGGTGAACCCGCTGGCATAAGCTAGTTAGTTTATAAGGGATTTACCCGATCTTACTGGTATATGAGTATACATATAGTTGGCTCAAATTTATTGGTGAATGTTTTCACTGTCCATCATTGATTGTGGTCCTTTAGCAGACAACAGTCCCTAGGTTGCGAAGGTCCTTGAATATACTTATATTTACATCTTATGTTACAGGTGTAACAACCTGCTCTGTAATCTGATTGCTCTGTTACTTATACATATTTAGAACTACTTATCGAGTAAGGAGTCTCAGATCTGCGATACTTGGGACGCCCAAAATATATGTTACTGAGTTTCTGGCAACAGACTCGCCATCTTCAATCAAATCAATGTCAGAGTACAAAAACGTAGTGCTTGCTGCAACAATGTATATTTTATTACCTGCATAATGATGTTATTGCTAAGGATAGTTCATAAGTAATGAATTTAATTTAATGTAACCATATTATGAATAAGGACGAACAAAACTATATATAGGTAGGAGGTAGGTACCTACCTATATATAGTGTTATAGATGTACATCACAATTACACAGTAAACCTGGCCCCAGACGATCTAAAATCTGGACAATTTATCAACAGTCAAAAATTACTAACGAAGTACCAGGCAGGCCAAGTGGCCAGGCATGGCCATCACGGAGGATGTTTTCTTTGCCAATCTTAGGGAACATGAACATTGCACCCTGTTCCTTACAATCAAATATGAGCTTCATGGAAGGACCAATATTTTATCTATTAACTATTGTTGCCGTATTAACGACTATGTTGTTGAATATTTTCTAAGTAAAAAGTATACTGATGTTAACGAAGCGCCTAAAAAATAATGAGAGACGCAGGTAGCCTGCTCAATGTTTGCTTGCTATTTTAATGACACTTGTATCGAATTTAAATGTTGCACAAACATTATTAAACAACGCAAGCTGTAGAAAGCAGATGTTAAATGTACTATTTTTATTCGTGTTTATTAATCCAGTTCTTTTTGTGTATAATTTTATAATATTTAATACTAGATAAGGCCTTTAAAAGTAGTCGAATATTTGTTGTTTTTATAATACTTATTGTAAGATTTCTTAATACATTAACTGTATAGACAAATATATTATTTAATGTTATTTGTTTTCTTGATTCTATATCATCGTGTATATCAATGCAGCCTATCTACATTTATATCATCAAGTAATTTGAAGTATTTATTGTACTTATTCTTCAACATTAAGAGGTGGACCTAATATGCTACCCTGTGGAACCCATGAAAAAAGAACAAGGAGTTTAATTACTTACCAGGACCCTGTATGGTATAAAATGTCATGATATAAATATTTAAAAATTCTTCAGTCAATATTTAGTGCGTGGATTTCTAGAGGAGTTCCTCAAGGTAGCATCCTAGGACCACTGCTTGTAACCCGATGGATGATAATGATATTCAGATCCAGGACGCACTTGTACCTCGAGGACAAACACACTTTGATGTTATTGAATATTTTGGAAAGCCCTTAAAGCAAAGCTCGTAAGCTATAGATAAAGCGGCGTTATGCATATAATGTACCTAACTACGTATAAAACATGAGTCATTATTATTTATCAGGATATGATAATTCATAAACGGACTTATAGGTGTCAATAACTATTCGTAACATTAGCAACTACCCGTGGAGACTGTTTACCGCATAGGCGCATAATAAACTTCTTGTTATTGTTTACGTTTCTGTTTACATTCCAAACTATGAAACGCACTAAGTATTGTTGTTGACTACACTGCTGATGACGTTAGAACTTGTGCAACTTCTGACCAATGTAAACATTTGTTTACGTTTAATTTTTAATGATGGCGTAGCTCAGAGGGTGGCATATAAAGAAAAACGTAGTACAAATATAAACTAATAAATATTGAGTATTTGGTAATTAAAGATTAAGTTACGGAACCATGAATGGTAGAAGTTTTGCTTTTAAAAGGCCAATTTCGATATACTTTTTTTTACTATAGGTTAGGTTTACGATATTATGGCTAGGCAAGAGGAAAATTTGGTCCAAAATTTCATCAGGTACCAACCAAATCCCATTATTCAATTGTCGTCACATTTAAAAGCCCCGGTCGCGTTAAAATTCGAGCTTATGATGTAACAAACCGCATTTTTTACACAGCGACACCTCTCAGTTTTAATAAGAACTAAATGTTATAGAAGATTCCATAACAAGACAGAGTTATAAATATTTTTAAAAAGTAATATTTTCAGTGTTAATGCAACATTATTTTTTATTGTGTTATTTTTGACGTGTTTGATAGACGGACTAGACAGACGGACCGTACTTCAACTCTAAATTGCAGTTCGGATGCAGTTTGTTGACACGACTGCATTTAGAGCCTTACCTGTTTGATTTATAGCTCTATAGTCAATTGAATGGATATTTTTGCCACATTTTGTTTGGTCAAAAGTACTACATATTAATTTGGTTATTTTTTGTTATTGACAAACAATACCCAGCGAAGGTGATGCAATAAATTATTTTAGGTGCTCATTAAAAAGTTACATTGTGCAGATAAAAATACCTTGAATTTTAGAATAATTAAATTAATTGTACCGTTTAAGTATATACCTACTGCAGTATTTTTTAACAAACGCCAAAGTGGTAGAACCAGTTGATGACAGGATACTATTTTTAGGGCTAAGGTTAACGCGACATACCTACATATATTTTATAATGGAGCATTTACATCTAAACTTTTTTGTTTACAAACTTGGGTCAATATATTAATATTGCTCGGAGGTAAGTACCTTTTTTCGAACTTTAAGTTTAATTGTTCATTTAATTTGAGTTTAAGATTACTCTATCACGTAAGGTGGATACTGCAGTAATGAAGTAAAGTATAAATTTTAAGAAATAACTCAAAATACTCGGATAACTACATGGTCACTATGGTCAGATGATACATTTTCATCTGACCATATAGACCCTATAGAAGTATAGACTGTACACTCGAAATTTACAGTAAAATACGATTTAACGGTACAGTTAATACATTTAATACTGCACAGTTAAAAAGGAAGGTGTGTAGTCTGCATAAAAATTGTAAAGGCTCCAATTCTGGACCATTTCTTAACTCATTTGTTTTATTTTTTTTATCTGACTGACATTAGATTAGTCCCATCGAGATGTCCCGTACTCAACAGGTAAAAGGTTTCCCCACCTTTCCTACATTCCTCGCTTTTTAACATTTATCTTTTAATTACAAGCCAGTAATAAATTTTAAAGTAATTAAGCGTCACAAAATCCAAGATTAAAAAATTGGAGTAAAAAAACAATAAAACGTTTTGTTTAAATGAGAAACAGTCATGTGTTAACAATAATCCAGAGAGCACGTACCTAAATAAGCCTTCACGGCTAAAATATTTGTTTTTATGTGATTCAAGCAAGTAATGAATAATCAAATACCAACGATATCGTACGATTAAAGCGGCTAGCTTGTTATGTTGAAATAACGAAACTTTCCATGGCGTTCTGGAACAGTCTGGGGAAACCACTTGGACAAAACTTGTAAGGTAAGAATAAATGGAAATGGGGCAGACATCCTCTTTCACATAAAAACAGTACCTACATTTATTACGGCACAGATCTCTTGGCATTCAAATGTCGGATATTCTTCTATTGTTGGATCATGAGATCAACTAGGTAGTGTTTTAATTTAATAGGTAGCAGATAAATAGGTTAATTAGTTAATTAGTTACTTAATTAGTTAATTCTTCAGTTATCTACAATTCGTGGTCAGGTAGACACGACTTATAGAACGACATTATTTGTCTAGGTAAGCACGATATTTGTATCTACAAATCGTGCTAGTTAAGTCAATAAATTTTATTAAATATTACCTATAAATATAACAAATAATACTCAGTCTCGTTAAATCTCAAGAACGGCTGGATCAACTTAGTAAAGATTTGTTAAAAGCGTTTGTAGAATACCGGGGAAAGTTAAGGTGAGAACACGTGAAAAAGATATCTAAAATAAAATAATAGCATATATTTTTTCATTAAGATCATTCTTGTCCTTTAGAAAATATGTAATTGTTGAGGAAAAAAGAAACAAGCTAGGATTTTGTAATTAAATCATCATCACGGTAAAACATAATAAGTAGAGTGATCGACAATAATATTTGGAAACAACTAACCAATCCAATGTCGCATTCTTTTGTGTGTGGACGATGCACACCAATAAAATTAAGAGGGACATTAGAGCGGTTTACCCTAGCCCGAGCTTTTTTATGTGCTATAGATATCGGTAGGGGCCAGTGTGTGGCTTGTAGAATATATAAACAACCTGATTCTATTGCCGTCATCGCATCTACATTTTCAAACCAGTTCCACGACTCGAGAGCCTGAGCTTGTCAAACGCCACTGTTCCGATACAAAACTGAGTTGTATCGAAATGCGAGCAATATTCTCCATTCAAGTTTAAGTGACGCCGCAGCTTTTATATTCCGCAAGTTTTGTGCCGATGTCGCGACGGTCTCGAGGAAGCAACACATGGGAGGTGCGTGCATCGACGTTGGCTCGCAATACCCATAACCTGATAAGGGACATCGTCGAGAACCTTCAGGTAGAGCCAAACCCTGAGAAGCAACTCATAGCTCTTTCAGTTGGTAAGTGTTTACTTTCAAATATTTAAACTCAAACGTACAAAACAGACTCACGATGAGATTTTATTAATAAAATAGAAAATATTAAAGGTACACTGGGTCGTAAATTAAAATAATTTTCAACTGTTTTTCAACAAAAAATTGATAATTTAAATAAATTGAATAAAATAATTATTTTAATAGATGAGAAGGTGAATAAAATGATTATTTTATTAGATGAGTAAATATGTAACTGGCCATAAATATTGTTTATCGCCTATTGTTTCAAGTGTGCATCCTGTTTGTTAACATGGATACCCAAAGATCAAATCTGCAAAAATTATCTTTAACTGCATCTTTTAATGTATCTGGCCGATCTCACAACCACTGGTACTGAACAATGTGCGTAAATAATATTGATATACCTAATGTAAATATCATCTAATCCGACGTAAAAGTCGCGAAAAATAAGTCAGAAGAAAATAGGTTAGCAGACTATTTATTTGTGTATCAAGGTCAACAGGATTTGGATTTCACAATATTTTTAACGAGCTATACATTTGTTTTGCACGTTAGGTGATCCGACAACTTTTGGAAATCTTAACCCTCCCGAGCAAGTACTGCAAGCTGTTCGGGAGAGTAATGAATGGCTTAGCAGTCGCAGTTATGGCCCTGCAAAGGGACACATCGAAGCCAGGGTGGCCGTAGCGCAGTACAGTGCCCACCAGGGAGACATTTCACCCGAAGACGTCGTCCTGTGCAGTGGGTGCTCGCATGCAATAGAACTTGCTATCACAGTGATCGCAGACTCAGGACAAAATGTATTGGTTCCCCGTCCTGGCTTCATGATATACAAGACTGTCGCTGAAGGATTAGGCATTAATATCAAACATTATAACTTATTGGTATGTTAACTTTACTGAAAAAATATTTATTATTCCAGTTCATTTTAGGAGCCGCCACAGATTCTGATACTTTAAGAATGGTAGTAAAAGACAGTCAGGTAGGGTTTTGAGGTAATGACACGCAACATATGAGGAATTGTGCGAAAACTAGAGGCACAGCAGCAGGATAGACAAGTATAAATATGAGCCGATGTTAAACAAGTTTCTAGTAGCATAACAAGTTTCTTGTGGAATGGATTTGCATACTGCTCATTTACGCTTTATTTTATTTATAACTGCGTAAATCCTTGATTAAAGGTTATTTAATGAAATGATAGAATGTCATAATGATGTTTTGTTGCAGCCAGATCAACAATGGAAGATAGATCTCGAGGATCTAGAGAACCAGATAGATGACGACACCGCCGCTATAGTCGTAATAAATCCTTCAAATCCATGCGGCTCGGTGTATGACAAGGGGCATTTATACGAGATACTTGATATAGCATCGAGGAACCACGTGCCCATCATTGCTGATGAAATATATGAACATTTTGTGTTCTCAAATAATGAATTCACTGCATTATCAGCCTTATCGGTAGATGTTCCGATACTAACATGTGGTGGCCTTACGAAAAGGTTTTTGGTACCTGGCTGGCGTATGGGATGGGTCATTATCCACGACAGACACAATATATTCGGGAAAGAAGTTCGTCAAGGTTTGTCGAACTTGGCCTCTAGAATTTTAGGGCCAAACACATTAATACAGAGGGCATTACCAGCAATCCTGACATGCACACCACAAAGCTTTTTCGACGAGGTTGTGTTGTTTATAGAGGTGAGTGAAAAATAATGATAACTTTCTAAATTGGTGACACATTTTTTGCGAATAATAGTAGAAATAAGTTTTTTATTACTTTTGCATTTTCATAGCATACATAAGTAGATATTCTTATTTTTTTCTCGGTGTTAAATTTTTTGGACTTATATTTTGGGTAACGTCGTAGTTCGTAGAGAAATTGCATATCGGTATATGAAGTGACTTATTTTTTTTTCTAACATTTTCAGAACCAAGCGAAATTGGCCTTTGATGAACTACGATGCGCTCCTGGCTTGCGTCCTATAATGCCACAGGGTGCTATGTACATGATGATTGAGATCAAATTGTCACTATTTCCAAATTTCAAGAATGAACTACAATTTGTTGAACGCCTGGTCGCCGAGCAGTCGGTGTTTTGCTTACCTGGACAGGTCAGTATTTGATGTTATTATTGGATAAAAATGCATGAATATTGAAAACATTACGTTAACAAGACAAGTCTACGTATTATATTTTTATAGTTACAGGGAGCGAGAACCGTTCCGTTTAATATTGACTTTTACTTTTACATTTGTTGGCTAAATAATTCGACTGAGTCTATCATAAATTAGCACAAGCGTTAGGCCCTCCCCTTTTTATTGTTATTATTTTTTGTTTACTGTTCACGTATATATAATATATTCCATATCCTAAAATTGTCATATTTGTCGTATAGTTGTCTAGTATTCCTTGTTCTTACTCAATGGATTTCGACTCGGTTCCCCGAGTTGCTCCTTTTATGGAGTTTAGATTGGTTTCCAGTGTGTAGCGTTAAAGTTATATTCAAAATTGAAAAATATGAGGCTTTTATTAATCATCATCAACAGCCTATAAATGCCCACTGCTGAGCAAAGCCTCCTTCTCACACGGAGAAGGTTTGAGCATTAATCACCATGCTTGCTCAATGCGGGTTGGCAGCATTTATTAATATTTATTAAAGGAACGATTCTTTCTGTTTCCAGTGTTTTGCCTATCCCAACTTCATGAGGATCGTTTTGACTGTGCCCGAAGCTATACTGCGAGAGGCTTGCAAACGGATGATAATCTTCTGCAAAGACCACATCGTATCCAGAGAGACCATCAAGGAAATTGAGAGTGATATAGTAACTGTACCAAGTGACAACGAAGTCATCTGTGACAACGATACTGCACATGTTGCTTAGAATAATGTGTTTTTCTTATATATAATAGTTAATAATTACCATTTATTCTAAAATAAATGGACCCTATGTGCCTACCTACGAAGATGTTTTTTTAAACTGCATTTCGTAGTTATATTACAACGAAGTATCAATTTGAAGTGTAATCAACTTTCTAAGGAGTAGTGTCTGATGGAATTAGATTTCACGTATTTAAATAATTACACTAGTACCTAATTATTTTTTGCAATGAAAAATACGATTGAAAACTAACACTATACCTATACTTTTAAATGTCACTGTAGGTTTTATATACCGAATAATCATGTTTGTAGTTTTTTGTTTACTGTTGTCTCTTTCCTACAATATGATAAACTGTTGATAGTGTTATGTGATGTCAGTGATTGCATATACATAGCGCACTCACCCAGTGCATGGGAATCACATCACGTACACGTCAAAAATAAAACCTACAGCATTTTATGCCAACATAAATAAACATGGGTAAAATAATTAACAATTTAATGAATTCAGCAGTTTACGTTGAAACTGGTGTAATATAACTATTATGTGCATAATATTTACAAGTTGTAACTAAGTAGAGATGAATTTGTGGTTACCCTTTTCTTTGTGTAAATAAAAATATTACAAAATATTTTGATTTTTTTTAAGTAGGCACGCTCTTAGTCTGATTTATCGGAGAAATTCTAGAAAGAAGGTAATGTGCAGAATATCGTTAACAGGTGTGGTGTGCTTAAATGTGATGGATGCCAAAGATACACCGAAGGTACCTATGTAACATTCGTTATGATCGCAACCATTGTAATAATTGGCGCTCCTTAGGTAAAAGTTAAAAACGAATAAGTATTATAAGTATGCATACCTAAAGTAAGTTCTAGATACACAATAGGTACCTACACGTGCGTGAAATGGTTAAATGAGCATAATTTTACCTAATAATACCTATATCTTTTACGCGTAATTAATTTTTTTATGTATGACACGTCATTCCTCTTATGAGTCCTATCTACGAAAAATATTATGTATCCTAAATTAGGTACGACAAATGAAACGAGAACGAAAGAATATTTACGTTGATAGTAGTTTGATAAAAAAATTAAAGTAGTATAGGTACTATCGATCGAATCGAACAGATATAGGTAACATTTGTTCGAACTTCCAAGTCGTACTTAGATAAAATACGGTACATCATCACAGCCTGTTCTTGTCCACAGTTGGACATACCTAGGTCTTTCCAATGGCACGCCACTGAGCTCGATCTTCAGAGTTCAGCTCTACGCATCCAACCACTACCAGCCACCTTGTGGATATTATTATTCCACCTAGCTAGAGAGTGCCCCACACTATGTTTGCTTAACATGTGGGCGTAAAATAATACAATTTAGTATTAAGAAATATTTTTATAAACCTGTGGAGCTTGTTTTCTTTTGGTAACATTACTATGCCTCAGGTGTACCACAGGGTTTAATTTTAGGCCCACACCAATCTTTATTATTGTGTTTCTAAATATTGTTTATATATGTTACATAAGTAATTATATTTAATAACAGCTACTGTTATTTTACATGCCTTTCATGTAATTTACCTATGGTGTAGGTAGTCAGCGATCCGAAACGTATTGACGTAATAAGATAATCATAATAACATAATTATCGTCCAAGTAAGTGGCTATAAATTAATTCAAATGGAATGGGGGTTACTGTATTTTTACTCGCCAGATGGCGCTAGCGTGTGTCGCTAACACATCGGACGTTCATATTTGTTAGTTGCAGAGATTTGACAGAAAACCTATTGCACATTTGCGCCATCTGGTGAGTAAAAATCAAAATAACGGCAGCCCCATTAACTAAAACCGATATTCATAGACGAGGTTTACCTACATATATAAAGACAGCAGCAATTCATTGATGGAAAAAATACAAAAAAAATCGTTAATAAGTGACTTTCAACCTGTATAAAAATATTAAGTAATGTAAGAATAAGCAGTTTTTTGTTTGGCCTTTGGCCTTTACTATTTAATCACATACTGTTTCAAAACGAATGAACACCATAGACAAGTAAACCAGGATGCCAACGACAAGTAACTAAATTCATTGATTCATGTCATTCGTTTCGTCTTGTCATCTGTCAAAAGTCAATGAATCCAAAGGAAGTGAGGATAGAATTGATTATTTGATTGAATTTGCAACAATTTCTAAGATTAAGAATTAGTAAATATAATATTGTATTACATTAGTTTCATTGTCAACTCTCAATTATTTCTATTCAATACATATTTGCGAACATAATGTCTCAAATTAAATCTAACAAAAAGTTCAAATGGGCTTTGGACTTCAACCAAAAGTAAGCAAATAATCTAAGGTGTTAATATTTACATAATTACTGTTTTATTGGTTATACTATACTTAACGTTATATGTTAATATTATTTACTTTTTTCTTTAGAAATCGAACACAAGCTACTGAGTTACCATCGCCACCAGGTTATAGTCAGTCTGCCAATGCGAGCTACACAGAGGCATCCAGAGACACCGATTCTAATCTACTATTGATTAAAAAATTGTGGGATGTTGCCCTTGGACCCCTGAAGCAAGTGCCAATGAATTTGTTCATTATGTACATGGCTGGAAACTCTATATCCATTTTTCCTATTATGATGGTGGGCATGCTTATTGTTCGGCCAGTGAAGGCTTTATTTGCTACCCAGAGCACATTCAAGATGGTTGAAGGAACTCAAGCTACTGGACAGAAGTTTGTGTACTTTATTGGAAACATTGTAAACATATTACTGGCTCTTTATAAATGTCAAAGTATGGGACTATTGCCAACACATTCAAGTGATTGGTTAGCTTTTGAGGAACCCCAAACCAGAGTTGAACATATTGGAGGAGGCTTATCCCTTATATGAGCAGAGAAAATCAAATAAAACAATTGTATATTTATTGCTAACTTTATTCAGTTTATCATTTTATAGGACTACTTAAAATATTTACAGTAAACTTATTGAATGACCTGTTTCTTTTATTACAATTATCCTATGCTGAAGTTGCATCATGTTGTCATCATTTATCTTTCTTGTCGCTGCCTTCTGCTAGTTTGTCTTTCACATAAGCTTGTGCTCTTTCAAACAAAACCTTTGGATCTTCAACTTTATCTATCTGTACCAAATAATGAAAAATATTGTTATTAAACATAAAACTACACCTGTCAATAAAGTGTAGAGATACATGTGAAGCAAATATTTGCTTCATGGATATACACTAGATACTAATAAACAAAGAATTCAACAATCACAATATTCCTGGTTCAAGTATTAAATATTTTTTCTATTGTAACAGGTATCTAGGAAATTTTCTATTTACAAACTATATTTCAGTGACTCAATAAAACAAAAAACAAAAATAAGTACATAATGCAAATCTAGATGGCCTATTAAGTCTTACAATATCAATAAGTAATATATCACAAACTTTAATCTAGAACATGTATACTAGCATATTCTTTTAGCTAGTAATTTATTTATATACTTTCTAATTTAATTAAAAATTAAATAATAAATAAAAGAAACCTTCGTAATAAAATCACACAAAATTATACCTTTTAGTCAATGATTATAAGTACTTATATTTCAAATTAAGATCAATATACAAAATAAAAAAGAAAAAATAAATGCTAACCAGGTCTTTTTTGGAGCTTTACCACTTTCCTCTCCTGGTTTCACACACATTCCACTCAGGGTACCCTGCATCAAGTATAAATACCATAGGTACAAGATGTAATGTCTACAGAAATGATGTGCTCACATACTTGCAATGTAAGCAGCCCTTTATGAAAGAGGTTGGTTACATAGTAGCATGTTAGAACACCAGTGCCGTCATAGGGGTAGGGATAAACCAAATATAATAATAGCTAACTAATAATAATATAAAATAAAAAGGAATGTGACAACAAAAGAGGCCATACGTAATTTATTGTTACAAAACATTTAGGTGCACTGAACCAGGAATAATGTTTTTAGTAAACAAGTGTGTTTAGGGGTTTTAGAAGTTGTAAGAGTTGTTAGTATTAGAAAAAAACAAAAACAGTTAATGTTAAGACCAATCAATCATGTAGGCCTCCTTTGCAAAGTAATTTTGTTATGTTGTGTTACGTAAAAAATACATGTTTCAGGTTACCTTGTAGTTTTGAGCTACGTAAACTCCAGTGTAAAGCCCCGCACCAAATATTATCTAAAAATATTAAGACAAGTGAGCAAGTATTCTTTATATTCCATTCAAGTTTGAATATTAATTTGAAAGGTTTATCTGAATATGACTGTGATGGCTTACACCAGTTTTAATAATGGTAAAACCACAGCCCATGGTAATGTGTGGCAACAGTCGTAAGATCTTGTTTATGATGGGCCAAAAGGTTTGAGGTGTTTCATTACTTTCATGTAGTAAGCATATTGTTCTTGTTGAGTTTTATTTAATGATTTATTGAATTATAGTTAGCAATATCCATTATTTATAAAATTGTTAACTGTCAATAGGACATTCTAAGTTCAAATGTTATTGACTAGTGAGCCTACCCCTTCTATATACACACTAAGAAGGTTAAGTTTTAATCAATTTGTTGGTCTGGAACACACTGAGGGAGGCCTAAATTCGGCATTGGATCATTATTTTGTGGATGTTATGTTGATGTGTAAATAATAAGAATCATTGAATCCGGTTTTATAAATATAGATTTTTCTATAACCAATCTTGAAATACAAAAAGTAAAAAGGAGGCCAATCAAGTTTGTCATTGGCTGCAAGTTAAAGGTCATAGACATCCTTTTGCAACAAATACTTTTAATGAACACAGATAACTTATGAAGTCTTGAAAGTAGCTCAATATAAAGTTGTTATAGGCAAATAAAGAAGCTATCTTGTGGCAGTTTATGAAGAATTGAAAGTTAGATAGTGTTCTGCAAGACATGATGAAATATTATAACTATTGGAGTAATTCAAAATAGTAATAGTAGTCTATAATCCAGTCTCTAAGAATGTTACTATCAAGGATACTTAGATGTTGTATTTTATGATGATAATAAAATTTATACTTCATTCAATTTTTAAGTAAATATGTTCTACTGCAAAAAACATGTTAATTGTTGATAGGCATTGTGGTTACCTGTTACTTTTTAAACTTAAATTTAACTTTTATAGTAAATGTTTATTAATTTATATTTAGCAATTTAGTAGGACACATTGGCATGGCCAGTACTTAATTAAGAATTAATTTATGACCAAACGAGACCGAATTTAAGAAAGGTGATAGTGGATTAGAAATACCTGCTTTTTCTTCTAAAAACAGTATTGCAATTGGTACATAATTATGAAAATCTTGTTGTTCCCAAAATAGAGACGATTCTTTGTTTGTTCCGATATAAATCTGTTTTCTGCAGAATCATTGTTCATGTTTATTTTTGTAATATCTTACAAAGTTATCAATCCTCTTATGTATTGCCAAAAATGATATCAAAAATACATACGAAAATATTCACTTACCAACCCTTTAATCATGTTTATTATCATGAGTCCACCTGTCTTTCACAGCAATAAGGTATGACCCTTTGTTGAAACGATTAAATTAGAGGAACTCTTCCTTGTAATTCAATATGCACAATGATAGATTTTTTTACAAATTTTGCGCAGACTTTTTGACATGCCTTGACATTGACAGTAAACATGAACAGCTGAACAGCTGACAAAAATATTGTGTGTGGTGTCTGCTGTCGGTCTCTGTCTATTTTGTTTTTTTCCAATAAGTACCTATCTATGGTTTCTACAAAGAACTTGCAGGTTGTCCAGATAGATGGCGTCTCTAAGATTTTACGTTTGCATAATTTCGCGTTTCCCATGGAGAAATTAAGGTTAAAAATGTTAAATATTCTTCGATGAAAAATTCGACTTCTTGTCTACAAGCCTCTGGATTTCTGTATATGCATTTTAAGTGTGGTTGCGTAAAGACTTCTATACACACAGATTCACTACTTACTATTTTGTCTTACAGTATTATAGTGTATAGCTAGCTTTTTCTATTCCGTGATGGTTGCATAATCTATGGTCCTACGTTTAATAGCTGGGCATGGCGTTGGCGCGGCGTTTTTAAATTCGTAAAGTTTTCCCATTAAAAAAATAGAAAATGTTTTTTTTTTGGATTCAATTATCTGGTTTCGTTTTTCTTGAAGAGTACTTTGCTTCTACGTAACACTTATAAGCAAAATGTCCGATAATCTTAGAATGTTATTAAGTAGAGCAGCAGGTAAATATATTATTGGGCACCCGCTAGTCACCAGTTAAATTATTGAAGCGATAGTGTGACCCTTATCTTTGTGATATTAATTTACAGAGTATTTGATTAATATTACATACGTTCCATTTTTTCGACTCGAGAATTGAATCCGAGAATTTATACCAGGCACTTCCATTAAAAAGACTATAATCATCTAAAATTTTGTATAGGTGAGTGTAATTTTTTGCAGTGCTTACTGCACTGGAAAATTCTCATAAATTCTTCGAATGAACAGAACAGGTGAGGTTAATATGTAAATAAAAACTTTTAAGTTGTCTGTTAAATCTGAAATGAAACTGGGTACTAAAAATACGCAAATTATTATTATGACATCGTACTTAAATATTTACAATGAACGAAATAAAAATTAAATTACAACATTGTAATGGGTTCATAAATTACTATATTTGTAAAATAAATACTTAAATCGTAATACTTTTTAACAGTTCTGGTTTACAATATACTTTGGCGGAAATAGGTAATAATTAAATGATTACCATAACACCACTGCAGAAAACAATTTCTGTTGCAAGTTGGAACAGTTAAAATAAAATTAAAAACAAAAATATGTTTTTTATTCTTTCCTTACAAAATATACCTGAAGTAAAAGTTGGATGAATAAATAAGCAGTTTAAGTATTACAAATGTCAGCAGGACAAGCTACCCTAATTTCGCAAAGTCAGTAACGTAATAAATGTTGTACCTCTACAATGGGGGCGCCTGAACTGGATTTTTAGCCGAAATTAATAACCACTTTCCAGATGGATATTGTTTTCTGTCAACTTAGAATGCTTAGATCGATGCAGAAATTTTGGATGATTAGGTACCTAGTTATTAATTTCGTGCGTTAAAGAACTCTCGCCTCCTGGCCTTGCAGGTGCAGATAGCGACCATTGGAGTGGTTTTTGCACCATACTGCCCAGACTTTGACCCCAAAAACTAATTGCATTTTGATGACTTTCTGTCGTTATGAAAAAGGTACGCTTATGTACCAACATCTGTACCTACTTTGAAATTGATTGAAACACAGATTTAATGTTTCCAATTTCAGTTAAATTACGTACGGCCGGTAAGTGAACGATGTTGATTAAATTAGGTACAAATGCTTTGGTGATAGGTATACATTGCACGAAGTTTACAGGCAGGTTCATTAAGACAATTAAAAAGGTATGAGTTTTTAAATTCTTAATTCTAAATCTGCAAGGAACTTGATTCAGATAGTACCTAACTATAAAAATGGACGAATTTCTCTTTTGGTCAGCGGAATTTCAAATTCGCTTCTAAGTTCGAGGTTCTGAATTAATGTTTAAATCATCACTCTTTTGCGAGATGTCTAATACGTATAATTACTTACAATCTGTATTTAGTCTGATAGAAAAATATCTAAATCTAAATAGTTTACTAATAAACTAAAGTAGAAGCTAACCTAGACTTATCACTATTATTTAACCCACCAATTTATGATTAGGTACATTATAACATCGCGCCTTGTGTGACCTAAGGGTGCGTCCACATACGGCGAATGCGCGCATGCATTTGAAATTATTATTTATATGCGTTGTCTTGTATGCGTTGAGCATCAAACCATTGCCGTGACTGTTCACGAGCTGCGCATTCTCCATATGTGGAAGCACCCTAAAAGTTTAAACAGAGGCTTCACTGCACTAGTGCATATTATTAGGTGTAACACCCACTTTTCACCACTTATTTTATGAGTAACAAACCTTGTAATAAATGGCGACCCAATTGCATCAAAATACATTTAAAAACAGCTTAAATACTAAATTAAATATACCTCAGTAGGTAAATACTACAATAATATACAAATTAACGATTTTAACAACCATGAGTACGAACATTATCACATAACATGTACTGTATCTACTACATAATTTGTTTTTTTTTTACACAAATCACTACATTCATTGACGCTATGTAAAGACTATTGGCGTGCAATCTTCAGCACTTTGTTAGCAACATCGCGGTTTTTCAATCGTTGTTAAAATATCAAACAAGATTATCTCACCACGTAAACGAACTTCAAACACCATTTAATCACTTGTTGAACGCACACTTAATTCCACAAGCACATTCGTCATATTTATAAGTATTCATAACCGAGCATTGTTTTTAATTTGACTAACGTGTTTATTGTTCTGAATTTCTAAAAAGATATTGTATTGAGTCTTCGTGGAGAGCAATCATTAGCATTATAATGCCACCCGACAATATTCCTAATATGGCCAGTAGTAAATTGATGCTTTTACCATGGTTGTTTGCATTAATCTCTGGCACTAAATCTGCAAGAGCAATATAGAAGAAAGTTCCAGCAGTGGCTGCATAGATCCACTGGGAAGCAGACTCATGATCTTCTGCGAGCCAAATTCCACCGGCCATGCCCATGAAACTAAGCACCGACGAAAGTAGATTATAATATAGGGCGCGTCTGATACTCATTCCAGAGCGTAACAGTACTGCGAAATCACCTAGCTCATGAGGGAGCTCGTGACAAAATACGGCCAATGCCGTTGCGAAACCAGTTACCGGATCTCCACTAAAGGCCGCTCCAATTGCTAGCCCATCTGTTAAATTGTGTAGCCCGTCTCCTACAATCACCATGAGCGCAGTCGACGTCATCGGCCGGTCGACGGGCGGAGGTGGTGAACCTGGCATCATTGCGCCCAGTTCTATTGGTTCTATTTGTTTGCCAGAATCTGTTTTGATTTCTGCAACATCTGTTCCGGAATCATGGGAGTGAGCGTGACCACCATTAATTGTTTGCATGATTGCTTCGACACTATAGAATAATAAAATCGTAAGGAAGGTGACGCTGCATTTTAATACAGTTTCTGTTTCTTCTTGTGGTGCTGAAGGGGGTCCATGTGATTTGAGCGCGTGGGGCAGCAAGTGCAGCAGTGCATCACCACACAAAGTACCGACTGCAATAGCTACCAAGAAGTGCAGCACGTGGCTGAATATTGCTGACTTCAACAAAGGAACAATAGCAACTCCGAGTAATCCAGTTGCACTGATGACTAATATGCTCAAAGTGGCATAAATCCAAGCTGGAAGAGAAAATACAGTCAATATTAGAAATTAAAAAGTACTAGGGGAATCAGAATTGGGAATTTATTTCAGCTTGGTTTGTTGTATTAATCGTCGGTAGATGTTGGTAGTTGGGACGGTACACCAAAGCATTATGTATTCAGATAGCGGAGCACATTGGTGCTTGTGCATATGTATTGACATAACTACAACAATAACATGAATATTCAGTTACTCACTCCAAAACCTGTCCAGCTTCGGTGCAGGTGCTTCTGTTTTGTAACAAGACCGTTGGTCTAATTGGTACACCAGAGCAGGACACATCTCCAGGAAAGTTTTGGGCCTGATGGTTATGACTCCTGGGGCCTCGTTCTCCATTCCATAAACCTCCAAAATTTCCCTTGGAGACAGGCATGACTTTTGCAGGATGGGTTCTGTTGAAACTGTTGAACATAAAAAATATAGTCAGTAGAATGTCTATATATTAACTATCAATACATAGTATAAAACAAAGTCGCTTTCGCTGTATGTCCGTATGTATGCTTAGATCTTTAAAACTACGCAACGGATTTTGATGCGGTTTTTTTTAATAGATAGAGTGATTCTTAAGGATGGTTTGTATGTATAATACATGGATATTGCACCCGTGCGAAGCCGGGGCGGGTCGCTAGTATAATATAAAGAAATGTGTAAATGATTAAATAGGTAGGCTTAATATTACGTGTGTTGTTACATTTACCTACCTACTATCGTTAAGGAAAGTAATTTCTGTAGAGCAGTTTCTATAACGAAGTAGTCAGTAGTTACTTTGAATAAACGTGTAACCCAATGACAAAATCCAACAATACGATTCATTCATGGATTTATGTGACAGATCCTTGGTCGGGGTCAGACGACTGCGCAAGAGCACTCGTCCACGCGGTAATAGGATAATCGCGATTATAAAGGACAATTCTCCGACCATTGGCGTCATGTTTTTGCAGAGAGTCATGAAATAATAAGGCTATTATGGTCAACAAGGACTGACAGGATAAATAATGGGTTGGACGAAGATTTGGCTGTGATATTTCGATCGTACGTGGTTTGAAATGGAAAAAAGAGCTCCGGTTTTTTAAGTCTAATAAAATGAATGAGATCGATAGTTAGTTCAATTATGTATTTATTAACAGCCTGTGATAGTTCACTGATGGACTTAGGGCCTCCTCTACATAAAAGGGGCTGCCCTAATTGCTATGATTGGCAGACGAGTCGGAGATAACAGTTTTAAAAGGTCAAATTTGTCACAGAGCGCTGCTGCTCGGTCTCTGTAAAATGTCCCTAAGGCCTACTGTCTACGACCCGTCATTTGACGAATATACATTTGTCACTAAATATATGGTGGCCTATAAATGACAAAATAATTCATGCATCGTGCTTAGAAACAATGAAAACAGTCCACGAAGCGACAATATTAAATTCACCTAAGGTCTAATTCGGAAAGATTAGGTGTGGTTACAAATACATAATATTCTTCTGTACCTTCACCTGGACACTTTATTCGTTGTTACAAATGAAGTGCAAAAGTTCACATCCTACATACCTACAAGGGGTACGGCCGGCATTGGAAATACTGTCGCTGTCGTAATAAATGAGAAAGCAGTGGACTCTGCGGAACTATCTGCTTCGCTTTCTACCAAACACTGGCATCTATACAAGTCATACCGGATTTGAAAACAGTTTTGTTGTTTTGAACTATCATTACATTGAAAATATTGTGCGGTTATATCTGATTCAACTGTTCATACATATTACAATAATCATCTACTAGAGAAACTAAAATATGCTACGGTAACTAAAAGTATAAAAGGATTTAAATTATAAAAAGCAATTGTATAGATTGGTCATACCATACTTACCTAACTTCAGTTTAGCAGAAAAATATTCGTTCGTTACATTTTAAATTGATATTAAATCGTGACTGTTATTGACCGGGAAATGATATTTTTTGCGTTTTGTGAATTTTTGTGCGCAAAAATGGCGTGTTATTCAGAGGCGAAAATTAGAATCTATCGTAGTGAATTCGAACATATTGATCAATACGTAGGCACCTAGGTGGATTTTTCCATAGAATTTTTGATTATCACTTAACAGGTATAGAGCAATTCGTTCCAAATAACTGTAGTAAGTTATATAAGTATATTAATAAAGCAAGCAAAAGGCACATACTACATAAGTAGGTTTAAGATTTCTTGCCTCAAAGTTTTTTCTGCAAAGCATAAATAAATCCATTAGTGTACTAAAAGTACCTAGATACCTACGACCTACGTTTTATTCACGATAATTGGAAAATAGACAATTCAAATTCAAGGATGAATTAAAATAAGCTACAATATTACAATGAACATGATTAGAGCACGTTTCCTCCTTTCCTTATGGTGTTTACATTCTTAACTTTCAAGGTTTATTTAATTAATCACGTTTAGGTAATTGCTTAGCTGAACTTACAATTTCTTAGTTAATTCGTATTGTTCATAATTTAGCACTGTGATAAAAAATCAATATAAACCGATGTCATAACTGACTACTAAAAGGTTGAATACCATTCAACCTTTCAGTAGTTTTGTGGTACTTGGTGTAGTGTTTATAAATGTTTCCTAAAATTTTACAAGTGTGAGAGCACCATTTCCTTAGAACCTAGTGTCCGATTCAATTAGCTGAACTCCACGGCAGGTGATGACATAGGCAGGTGTGTTAGACAAAAGAATTGTGACGCAGATAAAAGGTGAATGTCGTCCTCCATTCTCACAGAATGCGTGCAATTTTTCTCAAGATTATTTTGAGAAAGAAACAGGTGGGTGCATTATTGTTGCTAAGTTATACAAAATCTTATGTTTGCTATCTAATGTGTAAACATTCAGAAGAAAGTTTATGTAGGTACCTTATTGATCGTATCAGCTAAACACTATCATGGCGCAATTGCAATTATTTTCTGCTTAAGCACGAATTATTCCATGAGACTACTATCTTATCTCCTTTACTTAATAATTTATACACACAAATAAATGCCGGCTTTGTTATATGTCATTTATCTATTTATCATGAATCGACTACACTGGTAAACAACTATGTAATACCTAAAATTAATGATCTGAACTTAAGCTACCCTAGCGCCTCTAAAGACCAATTTCGAAAATTTGCAACAAACGGTATTGAAATATTAGTGACATTAGAATGAAGGGTAGTTTTGGTATCAATGTCAGGCAGTATTTGCAACATTGTATAAAGACAAAACTACATTGAAAATGTTTATAATCTCACACACACCGCAAAACATAATGGAACTGTGTTGTTTGACGTTGGTTTTTATAAGATTATGGTATCACTCCAGTTGAGCATGCTCATCCGTGACAAAGACGAGGCCTCGATCTAACACGTAAAAACAAAACAGGCTATAGGCTAACAAAAACAGTGGGAAACATACCGGCTGGAGGTGATCTGCGGTGCCTGTGCTGTGTGTCGTGCAGTTGTCGGAAGGTCCCGTTGATGCGGTGAATGGCCAGGTCGTGAGGTGACGTAAACACGCGTCCTCCGAGGCCCAAGCTGTCTAGTAGATGCTCAAATCCCTGTAACCATTGAAAACAAATCTTAGTCTTAGTCATATTTGACTCCTGCTCCATTCTACGAATCACTTAAGCAACAGCTTATATCTTGCTTTGAAGATTAAGGGCCGATTTTTCAATCATCAGTCAATTCTTAACTGTAGAATAAAATTAACATTTGACAGTTTTTGGTATGGAAGAATTGTCAAATATTAAAAGTTATTCCTCAGTTAAAATTTATCTAGCGTTGAAAAAAGTTATGAAATATTATAAGTACCTAACGAATATTTTTTTTAAAAGGCCGTTACTAAATTGTGTCTCCTGCCAAGGTTTCGTCTTCTTTATCCTAATAATGTCCTACATGCTAATTAATTCAGACGTACGTACACTGATACTGTACAGTACTTACATAGCCAGGCAGTTTATAAACTAAGTATGACAAATATTGTTTGTTTCTTTTGAATTTAATAGTTTTTGCAAGACTGCGCTGTGTTACAAACAGCTAAATAAATGTATAATAGTGCAACTTCTATGGTCATCATTAGAACAAACCACTTTTTTTGCGTCCTGAAATAGTTATTTTCGAAATTACATTTCTATATGTTTATTTACTTATGCCAATAATGGGATCTCTATCGATCGAGCGGTCGCTTAGGTTTTGGTAGATGAATAAATGAATGCCTTGTTCAAGTGTTGATTTATTTCTTCGGGCATCTGAGTACTCTACTCTGACTAGTTCCGACTGTCCATGTCCAAGTAGATGTTTGTATAACAAGTAACAACCGGTACCGGATTCGGTGGAAAGCTAATGTTTAATAAAACTTTTCCGTTCGTTATCTACCGCATTTACCTACTTAACTTGTTCAGATTACGTATCTACAAGAATTAACATTGGTTTAGCTGTTTTTAAAATCCAAGATGGTGTCTCTTCGTGATTCCTAATCAATTGATTAACCGTTTACGTCTTTTCCGTATTTCTAAAGACTAAGGACTTCCTTAGCATCTGCTGCCCAAGGAGTTTTGATATTTTTGAAACAACAATATCATGTGCTCCATCGATTACACCAACACCGAGAGATTGATTAAGATATGTCGCCCTTTTAAAGTTGATCTTATCCACACCAGTATTTATAAAATACTACAAGATTTGCAAGAGTTACCAGTACTCGTTCAGGTGTTCTAGCGCAAAAGGCATGCGAGTTAAAAAGAAAAATAAGCAGCACTGAATTGTTCTCGGTAACAAACTAAGAAAGGTGTTAATATTTAGCGTGTTTTACCAAGGAACACCACACACGTAAGTGTACTTTAATATGTCCGTGTTCTATGTATGTACTTAAGTCGTTGCGTCAGAAACGGAGTCAAGTTGAAGGACAGTCTGGCCCTAACAAATGCCAATTCGCTATCACTATAATTACTGCAACACCATTTATCGTTTGAGGTAGTGAATATCAGTCAATATTCACAATACACTATATTTCGATAGCTACTGATTAAGAGATTATGTTGTAAAGATAAATTATTAGCACGTTTTATTCGGTAATTTGTTTTTAAAGATTTACTTACTTAGAATTAAAAAAAAAAGAAACTGCGTTTGAGATTTTTGTATTGTAAACAATTATGCTGAAATCACTTCTGTATCATGTTATTTTTAAATGTGAAGTAAAACAGGTATTTGATATGAATAATCCTAAAAAACATAGAGATTAGTTTTAGCAAAAAATTATTTCGCTTAGTGGTTTCCCAATGTAAACATGATGATGAAATAAAATCCAAGGGAACTAGAAAATATTCCTTTTCTCCCTCTAACTTATTTCGATATCTTCTAATTTATTTTGATCCTAGACAGTTCATGTTTCTGGAACACACAACGCATTATACCTTACTGGTTGGCTCTCCTTAGACCTGGGCTTGCAGGAGTTGCAATGGTTGGACTTTCCAAAATATTGAAATGAAATCATTTTTAATGTGTTAAGGAATCTTGAAGTATTTTGAGGTGTGAATGCAAATCTTCACGACTTTTCAAAAAATATTGAATACTTTTCGCATCGAACAAATTTCAACGACCTTCCGTTGATTTCATGGTAAGTTGGTTTCGGATTTAGTCTTAAGATCCAATCACGTTTTCTTCCACTATAAATACACATGTAACCCAATTAAGTTGAGTTTCCTTAATTTAGCAGAGAATCGATTTTCAATACTTATTTATTTTGTTAACAATTAAACTATAATATGAATTGATGAGATCCAAAACACTACGTACGAGTCTTATATGGATATCGAAACATTAAATGTTGTGATGTTATATTCAAAACCAAGGTTATAATCGTCAATGTAGATCTTCTGTAGTTTCTTATGATACACATTATTTAGTCTTTTAGGGGAAGACTTCTCTCTCCTTGGGTGAAGCGAGAGAGAGAGTCCCAGACTCGTGTTGACTAGAAAAACCAACTCCGTTCCTTCTCTTGCTTCGAGCCGGAGCCCCGGTAACCCACTAGGCCGTACGCAACTCCGACATTTTCTTTTTGACTTACATTAATGATCATACCTAGTTATTATTATCTGTAGGTATAATATTATATACAACAATTTAATATACTTTGAAAACCTTTAAACTTTAAACTGTTTTATGTTTTTTTATTTGATGTTAGCAACAAATTAAATACGAATCAATTAGAATACAAGTAAAGTAACGAACCATTCTAAACAATTGTGCAATTGCCTATAGAGGTAATTTCATGCTTTCGGTCGGGTCATCGATCGTTATCAAAAAATATAAATATGTTTTCACAATCATTCAGGTGTTCGTCATGTATCTACTAATAACTTAACGGTAAACATTTCAAATACAAATATTACGCTATATTTCCTGCCTCTGTAGATAGATAACGATACCTCTGTACCTGTCGTCTGGCCATGAATTAGGTACAATTAGATAATTTATATTTTTATAAAACATGTGCCTATTTAGTTTAATCCTAATTTTATAATGGTTAAAGTAAACATTTCACAATTATTTGTAAAGTGGTTGTTTAATCACATAATTAGTCTAATAGCTTTCTTAAAGACCGTTCTTAGCTAACGTGATACTATCCTGTTTGTTGTACGCTTTATTTGTTTTGGCCATTCTAGTCAGATCCTGGATAAATTTACTTAGTTCTTCTTATTAATTCGGTATTAATTAAACGAAAATTAAAAATATTCCACTCGTATATATACCAAACTTAAAATTCACATTTTTTAGAACTTAAGAGAAGCATTCACTTTAAATAACATCATGTGCCGCAATATATTCCACGTAGAGATGCCCAATATTAGTGAATAGTTAACTATGATGACATAATTAATTCTTTACATTATTATAATTATAAAAACATCAGAACAAATGTAGTATTTACTCCACTCTACAGTAAATTATCAGGTATTCCTCAGGGAACCGATCTTTGACCATCTTATTTAAATGATTGCAGAATATTTGCAAGAACCTAGCCTTGTATTGTATGAGATAAACAGCTATTAAAGAAGAGGTAATTTATTTCTTCCGGGATGACATTATGATATTAACCTTGTTATTACAGGTGTATAATCCTACATGGTGGTTACTTTACCAATTATCCACTTAAAACACGATTGATAATTCAACATCTTCATTTGGAAATTACACTGCATACGATGATAAAAAATAACTGCATATAAATATAATGTTTGTCATCATAAAGTAAATAGGTATACTAATAATAAAAGACAATGTCTATATAAATAATAATAACAATTCAGTACTGTTTGATTTCCGTATTGTTTGAGATACTTTGATTAAAAGATTATTTTATGCATACAGTCGGGATACCTATACAATACATTGTCAAGTATTGTGTTAGAAATTACAATCGCGCACAAAACAAACATTTACAAAACATTAAAATAATATGAGTACATCTTCTTCATCTCGATCCGAACAACCGTTAATAAACGCACATTTGAACTGCCAATCTCTTTAGACGGAGTATTGATTTTGCATGCGAAATTGTAACACAAAAATTCATAAAAACAATATTTATCAACAGTTCTACACCTTAATAACGTGGTCATAAGAATCGTATTGATATTTTACTAGAAGCCTCTGATGTCAGTCATTTGTTTTGTTAACGGCCAGTCACAGTATTGAAAGGGCTATGTACTTATTTCATGATTTCCAAAATTTTCTTTCATTCTCTTCTAGATAGTTTAATGTTTTTCTTCAGTTCTTCATTTCTACACAGTGTAATTTTAATAATAAATTTGCACGCCATATACGCATATGGCAGAATACGCTGGAAAAAATTGCACTGTACCTTTTGTTCCGTATTTTAGCAAATAAACATTATTGATTTGATATTGATTTGATTGAACCATTACCTACCAATAAAAATTCAAGATAACAAAACGAGATTTGGTGAATCGATTCAATCATTCATGTGTCATGCGATGACCATAATTAGGATTTTTATACATGGTATTAAAGTGCTCATTTAGAAAGAGCAGTCATCGACTGTCGAACTAAGTTAAATAAAATAGTTTACCTATCGCACAGACAGTTATCCACTTGAAACTACAATCTGGTCTAAGATGTATTTCAAAACATCTGGTTGCATTCGGTCCGTGTTTATCTTTTCAATAAGAGAACAATACACAGAGGCGAATTTTTCGCAGTTTGAAGGTTTGACGCTAATTTAGAAATAAAAGTAAGCGTGCTATTATTATGTATGTGTTATTGATACGCAATCCGCGTGAGCTCGAACAGTACCGAAAATTAATTTTCTCCTACGTACTCAAATGCTAAATCATGTAAACATAGCGATACGTCAAATGTCCAGGCTGCCCAAATAGCACTAACTCGAAAGTAAGATGCACTTTATGCACTCGCAATGCGTTAGAATTTAATTAGCATTAAACACATTTACCGTTTTCCTGATTACACAATTCATGTAATTTGAAAACAAAATAAAGAAACCAGTTACACCATAAAGTCTGGGGTATTGTATAAATCATTATTAGCGCATAAGATGTACGTAATACGGACACGTGTAGTGTACCCAGCCCACTTAATGGTGACAGGATAGTGTCGCACGTGTTCAAATTGTTTTTCATAAAAATCACCCTTAGTTATCTTCAAATGTACAATAACAATCACAGTATGTTTTCAGTATTGTTATTAAACTCGTATGAAAGTTAAATAATAACACTTTTCGCTATGATCGCCATGAATCCCCAAAAATAATGTTTAGTAACATTCCCTTACAACACTCTTCACTACTACTACTGTTTACTTCACGATATTATTTGTTCCACATTCAAAGCACTTGTCTGGTCCCAGTAGACAATGTGCTACTTCCTTTTCCGCAATTATAATCCAGTTCTAGAGACTCAATGGCTTAATACCAAGCCAAGTATTCAAGAGAGAGCCATTCAACAATTTGTTGGTCCCTATTTGTCGAAAAGGAAGATACTAAGTTGGCAATACAATCAATGTTTGTATGGAATTTAAGATTTACGTTTCCTACATAGTTACGCATCAAACAAACTACCTAGGCATTCAATGAAAGAACAATAAGATGACTGATGTTTGGCGAACATAGGATATGATGCATTGAGAAAAGCATACAAATATTTCAGAAGAAACACTTTGCTTATGAAATTACCTCAAATTACAGCTATCAATAGATGATGGATTTAACTAAATATTGATAAGCGATAAGGAAACTGTCGTAATACTTTAGTACAAATATATAGGTAGTTAAGTTACATTTAAGTTCGATGAACTTCAGTTTATGAAATAGGGAAAGGTATTTTAATGATAACATGTAGAAATTATTCAATTTTACATGTTACAGAGCCACTGATTAAATAAACCTGCCATGCTATCGAATAACATGGTTAATAGTACCTAGTAACTTTTTAAACATTTTACAATAATATTATTAAACTAATTTACCTAGGGTATGTGAAATGTAACGTGCATAACACATAATATGTTGGATACTGTCTATCGACGTTTTAAAGCAGCTGATTGCCTATATGTGTGCAAAATCTTGGAGACGCGTAAACATCGCGATACCGATTAAGTTTGTTCAATTTACATAAGTAAATACGAAGTTTTCCTTGTAAAACAACTGCACTCACCTCAAATGTAATGACTCCTTTATCTCCATATTTATCGAATATTTTGTCAATGAAGTATTGCTCAGCAGGGAGGGTGCTGTTAAGCTGGTTATCCTCAACAGCTCCTGCTACGGCGAGGGTGGCAGTGTTCGGGTCCAAGTCTCCGGTGGAGCCGGCGCAGCAGAGCGCCAGCGCCAGGACTACGACGACGCTCGTTGTCAACATGTTCACGACTAATGTCCGCGCTCGCGGCTCGCACGGTGGCACGCTGAGTGCGCCGGCGGCGGTCCCGCGCCTCCGCACCACACTATCAGCCGATCAGCTTCAACAGCGCTCCGTTGAACGTGATAATGTGACGCGTCGCGTGGCGCTCGCGCATCGGCCGACCGCTCTTTTGTTTGTTTATTTGTTTGGAATTTATGTCAATAATAAAATCGCGAATTGAATTGTACGTTAGACGCAGTTGTAGGAGCGTGTTTGTCACTTGAGGTGAGGTGTGCGTCTGCGACTCAGCGCGGTGACTTTCACCCGTCGCTCTCTGGAGGCTCCGAGGCCGGTTGAACACCGTTACTGATAATAAGGTGTATTTACGAAGTGACCGCCATTAATACAACCTCATTAGATGCCAATTTAATTGCAACGGGTGGGGTAATAGGTTGTGGCTAGAGTGACTCTCCCAACCATCAAACGTGAATTCTGAACGCTGGTAGTGTGTGGATCGCCGTGATAATGTTGAAAAATATATTTGATATACGAATTTATACAAGAATTTATTTACAAATCGTATCAAATATGATATTTTTGACTTGTAAGTAGTTATCTATTATCGTGCGAGTCAACAAATGAGCGTAAATATCGTAGCGTTCATTCATAAATACGATGCGTATCGGAAATTATGCTTCGCATTATGGAAATTACTTAGTTTTATTATTAAGTGTCAGGTTTAATGACTCATAAATAAAATAAATAAACAATAAACACGTTGCTGTTGTTCCACTTCCTCCTTACGTTAGAGCGAAACGATGTCTTTTGTTTTTGCAGTCAGATTTTTGGTCTTGCGACAAGATCTTGGCAGTCGGAGCACGTTCACTGGTTACATATATTATACCGATTACTATTCACAGTATTCACAAGTATGCACGTGGGTTCCTAGGTTCCTACAAAGGTAGTGTATCACAAAGAACTACTGCGACGGGCTAATGACAATTATGTAAAATTATTTTGATAAATAAAGTATTACGGGTATTTATTACATAACTTTGTGGGTCAAGCGTTCAAAGAGTTTTCTCGTTCGGTCACTGTACCGGCAAATAATAGCGCGGGTTGTTTCCGTAAAATAGGAGAAAGAGTAATAAGAAAATAAACAATAAGGTAATCACTTATTACGAACCTTGACGTGTTTACACAGGTGGCAAAAGGTGATTAGAAAGTTTGCAACAGATCAGTGAACAAGATCATTTGCTGTCTCTGATTGAAAACTGTATCTACGCACCTATCTAGCTTTATAATTAGTTGTAACAACAAGTATGTGGAGAAGGGAAGGTTAATTAATCTGATGCAAGAAGCAACGATTCTCATTGATATTTTCATTAAAGGGTTAATTTAAAACACATTTCTTGGTGTATAATATAATTATTACCTGCTCATTTTACTGACCAGGTACATTCTCCAGTAAGGATAGATGAAGTATTTTACAGTATCTCGCTTATTGTTTAGCCGTTAAATCTTCTGCAATAAACAGATGAGCTCTACTTTAAATTTCTTTAAACTATAGTAGGGTTAATTCAAGAATACCTATCTAATTTCTGAATGCGTAAGAGTAGTGTGTGAAAAATTGTATTGTTTTCAATTGTGTTCATACCTGCTTCACACGTAAGCAATGCGCTAATCTGTTTCCATTCGTAACGTCCGTGGTTGTTTCACATGAATGTAATTAGTAGTGAAATGTAATTTCATAAATTTTTATACCACTTTCATTTTTATTTAAAAAACGATAGCCTTTTCTCAAGTCAATACCTTTCGTACGGAGGTTTTCTTCTCCACTTCTAGTAAAGCAATCAATTCCAAATATTGCCAAATTTCCAGTTGTAGGGGTGTAAATAACACTGAATTTTGTTGGGTGTTCCTCAAGGAACGATACTGGGTCTGCTGCCATTTTGAACTATTCCTATCAACCTTAGTAATAGGGTTGCATTTGTGTAAATAAAAATTGTGAAAAGTACATTTTCCGATTTAAAATAATTAGTTAGAAGTTGAAATAAGTACCTAGATAAAATATTTATCATAATCACCGGTGCGTCCTGGAACAACGAAGTTGTATTTTTGGCATGAGATTAGATTATTATTATTTGCAACGTTAAATTAAAATAATCATTAGTAGCACCAGTCATACTTAGCCAATGTTTAGAATTCAAAAAAAGTGTGACGAATGGAGTTTCTTGCTTTTCGTAGCTCTACTTATGGACAAACTAATAGACTATTACTTATTTATATTTATTAACGTTTCAAAAGTACCAAATTATGGTTTTATTTCCATATTTATGTATTTTTGTATGTACGACAGTATCTATATTATAAATCGTATATAATCACCAAGAAGTAACATAATCAGGAAGGGTCAATAGAAGTATATAAATATACATACGTACTTATACCATCTTTGTACCATTACACATTATAGAAATTACTCTGAATGTATTATTTTCACCATTATTGTGTTGTGTGTAAGAACAACAATCATACATAAATACTTTCCAGGGTATGTATGAATGGTGGTTCTTTCTTTATTCTAGTAACATTGTTTATTTCTATTTTATTCTTCTTTATTATTAGTTCGTACATTGCACCTATAACTTATTACTGCTATATCTGTCGATTTAGCGATATAGATTTAGCGTATGCCCTTTTCTTCTCCCTAACTAACATTGCAGCTTTAGCTTTTACAATATTTATTAGTCGGTTAAAATTGGGATTTCATTAGTACTAATTTTTGGCACAGCTAGTGTGTGATAAATGTATTTTCTTAATTGTAAGCTTTAAAAAATGAGTTTTTAACGTATAAATGTATTAGTAAGTTACAAATTCGTATTTAGATCATGACAATTTGTTTCTAATAACGTAACGTAAAGCGGTGTGGCCTTAATTTTATCAATGCTATCAATTATATGGGATTACAAAGATATTACTATGTATAATGAAGTCGTAAATGTACCCTTTGCTAGTAAATAAGGCAATGTCAATGTTAACTATATATGGAGGTTGAATGTTGAAGCAATGTTCGTGTAGATATTATTGGTGTTACATAATTTGTACTTGTTATGTATACCTAATAGATATTAGGTACTATTTTATAATCTTCGTTAGCTTTAGATATGTTGTACGTACACAATTTTATGTAATTCAATTTTTTCCACAAATTATTTGGAAAAACGCTATGACTACATACTTTCGCGAAAATTTTAAAACACCTGAGAACTCTATTAGTCGCAACACTCTTTTTGCTTAGTAATCCATCTTGCTCTATTTGCATGCATCTTGTAATAGTTCTTCTTGACGTTTCTTATTTTGTTAGTAAAACCCAGGCCTTGGGTTAAAGCAGTGGCGTAGCTACTCAGTTCGAGGCCCGTGGTAAAGTTATCGGTTGGGCATTTCATAATAAAAAAAATAGGGATGTTCAGTAAAAACTTCTGGGCGGCGCTCCTTCCCTGGGGGGGAGGGCGTGTCATTTTGCCAACTTGCTATCCTGTAATTCTTATCATTCATTAACATTACAATGCTTGAGGCGTGATCTACAAGCGATACCGAAGCTAAAGATATGGTTTCTAGAATTATGTCTGTTTGTCTGTGCTAAACTCAAATTTTGCATTAATATTACTAACAGGTCGGGTCAAAATATAGGCTACATATTATCATGCTATCACCTATGGGTAAGGAGCTACGAATCCCTATTCCATGCGGACGAAGCCGTGGGCACAGCTAGTTAATAAAAAAAATCTCCGAACAGTAATAATGTGAAAAAGCAATCAAGACAAAATAATAAAATGAAAAGAAAATAATAATCGAATGTATACTTCCTCATTCTATCGTAAATCATAATGTACAAGATCAGCAGTGACGTCACAGATTACCAGTCATTGACGCACTGTGACTAACTTAATAGCCTTTTCAATTGATTTTACTTTAATGTGTAGATTTTATAGTAGACTTAAGTGCCTTGTAGTGACAATAGGGCATTTTTTAACACAAATTTTAAACACCTCTGCTCTTTCCTCGGATATTGTAAAAGTCGACTAAGGGATTAAATATGTGACTGAGAAAGGACAGCAGTATTTTCTGATAAATCTGATACGCTTAAGCTGCAATCTCAAATCTCCTTGACCAGCGTGAGGACATGGCAAACCCCTCTTACGCATATAAAGTGCATGTACTGTCGTCCAGCTGTGGACTTTTTATATGGGTTGTTGATAACCTAAGGAAGTTTGTATGATTGTACTTTTATATCTATTATAGATGTTACATAAGCAAAGATATTGAAATAGATTGAGAAAGCCCGATGGCAAATCTTTTGATCGTGTATATAGTTAGTTTTTAGGACACTACCACATTATCAGTTATTCGAATATAATAACGTGATAAATAGTCTAGATATAAATTGACTCACATATCTATCGACAGCAAAAGAAAGCACTAGAAAATATACCAGAACGGAATTATGCTTATCTATGCCGTAAAAATTGCCAAATCGGGAATTATCGTAGATAACTAAGTACTTAAAATAGAGATAACAAAATGTATTTGTTTCTCTTCATTAAGGGGGTTTTTTTGAGGGGGAAAATCATCCAATGACTTATTCCGCCTTGGGTTAGGCGAGAGGGAGTGTCAGACTCTTACTAACTAAAAACCATCCCGTTCCTAATGTTCCGTTCCGTTGCTCTTCGAGTCGGAGCTCCGGCAACCCGTTAGGCCTTCCGCGGGCATCAGCCGTACTGGGCCCCATCTGTGGTAGTCTGATGGCTCTTTGAGGCATGCGCGGAACGTGACGAACTGAACGCACGGGTCTGGCTTTGATCGGGCGGCGAGCTACCCTTGCTCGCCGTCCGCAGACTTGCACGACGCGTTGCGTATTGCCCGCGACGGCTGCAGTCTGAGAAGGTTCGTTCCCTAACGCGCCCTGCCTTCCCCTTGGCAAGCATGACTGCTTCGCAGAAGAAGGAGACGACATCCCAATCCCACTCGATCTGCACCATGGCCTGAACCAGAGCCGGACGCGAGAGGTCGCTGTCGTCGACTACATCCCTGAGAACACCACAGTGCTCAGCCCACACAGGGCACACCGTCACCGTATGTTCATTAAGAGGTTGAAGTGTTCATATTTCTCATTATTTTTATTATTATTTGATATACATCGTAAATGTAAGCATCATCAACAGTCAGTGAGAGTCCACAGTTAAACCATGAGGTTCCTCTACTGCCTCTACAAAATAATCGTATTTTAAAAGAACGAGGTTTATTGGTTTATCAGAGATGCTGTTGCCCGGTCTCTGCCACTTTTACGTCTCCCGTAGGAAGACAACCGTAGTGACAGCACACTTAACAGTTTAGAAAACAAGTACAAGGTGTTTTGTTTTTTTTTTTTATTTAAAAAAAGGTTAGTACTAAAACTTTGGTAGGCACTTAACATCTATTTCATAAAGCGCTTTTGGGATTTTCAAATAATGCGACATGCGAATCAGCTTACAAGAAA